ATACTCAAGGCGGTTCTTCTGAATCCGCGTATGATTATTTTTTAACCAAGTCCAAAGGCTTTTATGACGCAAGCGATCGGTGATGTTCTTTTTTATTATTTATAATCGTCGTCATCTTCGCTTTGTTCAATTTTGAGTTTTCGAAGAATGTTTGCATCCGGTCCTTTCCTTCTAAAACGAAGCATAGAGGAATTATCTTAATTGGCGTATTGCTGGAATGAGTTTTAGAAACGCCCGCCATGGTTACGTTGTTTTTCGTGTGCCATTAATTGAATTTTCAAGTACGAATTAGCGCTGTTGCGTGGCATAATTTTTCGATAGCTCCCGATATTCATATCTTATTTCGTGTGGAAACATGAGCTTCAGTGCTTCCGAAACTTGCTTCGAGTGTTGGCTAAGGGGTGGAAAAGTGGTCCGTGAAAAAAGTCGGTTGAATGATTTGCGTTTATAATTAGCTCCTTCGCGGCTGGATAATATTCCACTTTTTTTTAAATATTCCTAATTATGATCAGCTGCTGTGTGGGATGCATTTATTTTAAAAGCGAGAATGACGGTGGGAGACACCGTCTGTGTCGAGGAAAGAATAGTTCCGTGAAAACGTGAAATGCCAGATTTGATTAGGAAGTCTGTCCGAAAAAAACGGAGATATTTATTGGGATTTTTCGATTGAAGGTGAAAGGAAACAAATGTCAAGGACCTGCCGTAGTTGAATAATTGGAAATCTGCGTGGGTTTTTTTTCCGGAGTTGAGTCCTGATTTTGGTCATTTTCTGGTTGAAGATTTGCCTCTTGGATTCATAATATGTCAGTACTCTAATCTTATCCTTCGTGACTGCGCCCGATTCATTTTGTCAATATACAAAAGTTCAATACGTCTTACATTTGAAAAAGTGGCCTGATAAGAGGGATATTGTAGTTCAATGTACTGTACTGTACTATAGTTTTTTATTATTATTCAAATCCTTTGGCTATGCTCGTTTCTGTGTCAGAATATTTTCAAGTACTGCGGGATTTAAAAAAAAAAACTTGAGGTTGGCTTCGATTTATTTTTGTTATATTTACGTCGGTTGCACCCCTGACGTGTGCAAATTGCTCGCCGGTCGACATTTTGTGACACAAGCGAGGGCTTTGATTGCTTAAAAATTGTCCCGGATTTTAATTTTTTTTTATTGCGACATGATTTTTGTTCCTTGTGAAATGTTGGAAGATTTTTACTGCGGTATTTCAAATATGCGATAGTTCGTGGACGTCCTGTAAATTCGTAGAACGTGTAGTTGTTTCAGGACTTTCAGGTAAAACTCATTTTATTGAAACGACGTGATTGCGGTTGTCTTTTTTTCATTTCCATTTGGTTGAGCAAAAATTTGAACATTGTTCACCAAAAGATTGGATACTGCATACAACATCCAGCGATGCTCAACAATGGAAGCCAAACATTGTCTGCCCTGCAAAACCAGTCCTTGTGCCTTTTTATCCAAGTGGGATCCCAAATTTTACCTTGCTTACATTGTCGGCGTTTTTTTTTTACGGTTTTGCTAGTTGGACTGACTTTTGGACAGCCGACGACTTGTTGGCAAGGTTTCTGTATTTGAGACCCAAAGGCGACTTTTTATCTGCTGCTTCTTCTTAATGTACCGCTCTTGAGAAACTTGGTTGGTCACTTTAATGTCGCTCAGCAGTCTCATCGCGTCCCTAATGTACAACCAACCGGTCCGAATGGCCGTGGAATGAAAGAAGGAGCACAAGAAGTGCGTCGGATAATCAAAACCGACCTTGCTTCATTCACCTAACGTCGTTTGACCCGAGGGGAGACCCATTCATTTCATCTGCCCTGAGGACGCTTTCCATCCCGGTGTTGTTGTTTCTTGCCTCTTTCTCTTCCTCTCCGACTAGTTGGCTTCTTCTCGTATCGACCGCCGAGTTTGAGAAATCGTGGGGGGCTCTATTCTGAGTACCATGGGGGCCATTATGAGACTGATGGATTATCATAAATCGTATCCAAATTTTTTCTTCTTTGTTTGCTTCTTTGTGAAGAATAATTTTCTTTCGTTTAAGCGGTTTTGCTTTGAAGTTGGTGACTGGTTTTCGTCACGGCAATCGACGGGAAACGCATCTTCGTCATCCATGTTTTAAAAAATGTAGTTGGTCTCTCTAACGCATTTTTTGGTCTCTTGAATTTCGTTTTAGAGAGAGAGTTTACTACTGCGAAGATTGTTTCAATTCCTACTTTTAGTTAGGAAAAAGAAAAATAGCGGCTTCATTTTGATTTAACAGTATTTCAGTATTTTCCCGTCCTCTTCTAGACATTCACTGTGAATCTCGACTTATTCCTTAGCCCTTTTGATCCGAGAATTGAAGTATTTTTCGGTCAGTCATTCCAAAATTTCACTCGTGAATCTTTTAATAATGTACTACAGATTTATGGAACTGTCACCTATTTATAGAAATAATGGCGGAATGCATGCATATACAGTAACTTGACAATCTGGTGCATCGGAATTTGATGGAAATTTGCAAGACAGAAAATGGCCGGAACATTCCTCTCAAAATGACATAACCCAGTAAGCTGCCCAAATTTCTCGTGAAATACTCCAAGGAAGTGGTTTGTGATAAAATCAGATTTTCTCACATTCTGCCGTAAGCTGAAGGCATTTATGTCATTCAATTATTTTTTGGGGAGCGTTCAGCTTGATGAACGCTCTGGGACTACCTAACCCTTGAAAAACTAATAATGCTCAAAAGCTTTGTAAAAGTGTAGTTTTTGTCAGCTTGAGATGATCACAATGCGAGTGAAGAAGGAAAAGTCTCAACCCCATTTTCCACGGTGTGAAGGAAAGTGCTTGTATGTAGTATACGTATGTAGGTGTGTTATTCGGGGCAAAACTTCAAAAAGGTCATTTCACTTTTCCGAACCACAGGTGTGTCCCTTCACTAGAAAAAGCTTTTCTGAGGGTTGGAACGTTTTGTGGGATTGATGGGACGTCCGGTGATGCAGCACCTTTTTGGAAATAATTTACATGAATTGGGTTCCATCCCTGAGGTATTTCTCGTTGCTTGCTGGACTGTCTCGCGGCGCATTTATTTTTGTCTCCCGGATTCACTCATGAACAATAAAATAACTCGTCTGCTTCCGGGTTGCCCAGATTTGGTTCATTAATCCCTAAAGCTTGATTTATGAAGGTAAACCATTGAGCTGATTGGATTTGTTGACGGGAGATGGACATTTCGTAGGTTTCGGGTTCGGTCTGATGGACTCGAGGAATTCTTCTCTTTTCTCTGTCGGCGGAATGAGAAAACATTTCTAGCTGGGTCGGTTCAACATGTGTTAACTGTGTTCAGATCACAAAAGGACATCGGCGCCCATTTTTCGATAGCAAGTCAATTAAAAGTTGACCTGATCATTATTCCTTTAAACTATGTTTTGTTTTCGTCGCAAGTGTTGCGTAAAAAACAATTGTCAGTTTGAAACACTTGTCTTTTCGGTTTCTTTGCGAAGCTTTCTATCTGAAGGCTGGGGCACCAAAAATTGGCCAATGCAATGGAACACATTTTTTTTCGTGTTGTTGTAAGGGGATATTAGAGTATTAAAATAAGGTTTTTTTTAAACAAAAAGCTTTTATTGTCATTTTTAAAATCGAATCATGAGGGCAGATCCTTGTAACTGAGAAATATTTGTATTAAATTCACGGATTCTGCCGGGTGATTCGCAATCTGCGATTTAGAAATTCTCACGATTCTTGTAGTGGGTGCCATTTAGTGATTCTCCTCTTGCCAGCGGATAATCTCCGTGAACCCGTAGTTCAGAGGCGTGGTCAGCTTGGCGAGTGACGCCTGATTTGCATGTAAACGAATGACCTATCGCGTTATAATTCGGGGCAAGTCTTCACATTTTTCCGCGTGTTGTGAATCAGGGGTGTGCGAGTCTAAAAGTCACGTTTGAAAATGTGCCAACCCAGTGTGCCAATCCGGTTTGCATCACAACTTCGGTTTCGGGCAAGCACTCGAGTGGAATTGTGAAGATGAACTCCTTTTTCGCCTCATTGCCGAAACCCGGGGTGATGAAACGGATTTAATGTGTTTTGATCCCGTTGATTGATAGTAAAACTGTTCGCGTGGGTTGCTTTGAGAGGCACAGCGGCTCTTTTGTAGTAGCCCCTGGAAAAGAACTAGTTATGTTTTTCTTTCTGTAACAACCGGAGCATTTGTCTACACACTCTACAGGTGCGGCACTAATTTTTTCTTATCCTCGTGAGCCAACCTGGTGCGCTAAGCTCCTGAAGATTTCCTAATCGGAACCTTTGACTGGATCAACTTTTGCGATTGTTCTTTGACAGAACACAATATTCGTGATAGGTTACACAAGCTCGAATACACGACGTTTTTGATAAGATCTGCTTCTTTCTATAACTGTAGTCCATATGCGACTGAACGGTTCGAAAAGAAGTCTTGGAACTTCAAAGCTTTGAAATCGCTCATCGTTCACTCGATTTTATTTATCGGTTATTATTGAAGTGTATCGCTTCTGTTTCAGGCGCGATCCCGTGAAAAACAGCCGGAAACGGTATCTTTTTTTTAAATCTTATTTATAGTAATATTGTTTCGCGACCGATTCTCGAAGTTCGTAAAACTTATATGGGAGAATCGCTGAGAAAGTGCGTGTGTGAAGTAGAGAAGTGAAGCATTAAAGTTGAAACTTTACGGGGCTACTTTCGTTCTACGCAGAAACCGCAATCTTAAGACGTTGCGGTCATGGATTCGGGCTCCGAGAAGGGTCATGTGGAAATATTTTATTATGATTGGTTTCTCACATATTGTCGTAGGTTTATGCAGAAGACTTGTTCAAGAAATTACTTCTCTCGGAGTTGCTATAAAATCTGACGGCGCAGTAAATTTCCGAGATGGAGACGCTGGGTTTTTTTCCCCTGGATGTTTTCGAAGGATTTTATGATGTTGCTTCATGCAGGCTTGTCTCTCTTGTTTACGCGACATTCGTGTGTTGTTTTTTTTTTTAGATTGCCCTGCCAATGCCGTGAAAATTTAAAACTTCAGTTGGTAAAAGAAAATAGAAATACATACATTTATCGCGTAAAGATCTGAAATCATGTTCATCGGATTGAGCCGAAGTGCGAAGCTCGGGACTTTCGAGTCGCTCTCGAAACCCGGTGACCTGAGATGACTTGAACCTTCCGTATGCGATGGTATTGTTTGTGCGAAAGGAGACGAAGGTGTTTTCGTTTCTTCCTTCGCGTTTCTTCACCCGTGTTGAGACCAAAATGCCACCTTCTGGCGACGTTGCCAAGTGGCGTCCTCCGACCACCGGCGGTCAACGTCGTCTCATGGACGTCATTCGCCGCCTGCAAGACAAAGCCCTGGACTGTCAATCGTTGTTGATTGACCACTTCGTGCCGAAATCTGCCGCCACTGTGGCGCGTCGCGTGGACGCCAGTGTAAAGAACAGCTTCAAACGACGTCGCAGCGGACGCAACAAGCGTCGCACTGAACTCGGCGTAGTCATTCAGCGCTCTGCGGATTTTCAGGCCATTAGGGAAAAGTATCAAAGAGCCATTGACCAGAATACAACAACAACTGATGGCTCTTTGCACGTTGATGGATGTCGCACGTTGCGAGCCCGGGTTGTGCGACACGGTTGTGACGGTGACGAGTTCTGGCGACGAAGAGCGACTTCCGGAGACGAGGAAGATCATCCCCGTGACGTTAGCGCGATGGAATTGAAGCCAAGGATTGCTGCGAGAATTTCGATAATCAACCCGCAACGCGTGCCTCCTACCAAGTCGTCTTCTTCTTCTTCGTCGTCAGCGTCGTCACTGTCATCTCTGTGCGACGATGACGGGAAGGAAACTCGCGCGAGATCCGCATTGTGGCGCAGACGATATGTGGAAAGAATTTGTGATCCAGCCCAGAAGTCTAAGATTCTTCCGTCCCGTTTGATGCTCAGGCACCGAGACGTGAGACGAGGTCCGTTTGACGGCGGGATTTGCGACGGGCGAGTGAGACGAATTGCTCAAAGTTTGCTCGAACAACAAAAACACCAGCGGCAAGTGCTGCAACAGCAACAACAACAACAACAACAACAATGTCAGCTGAAGCAACAAGCATCGGTGAAGGAAGATGACAAGTTGTTGGGTGGTAATGATCGACGTGTCTCGACGCAGAGTTCTGAGAGCCACGGATCTGACAGCTCTGGTTATTGTTCGGGCGTTGACATTAGTCCGTCGGACAGGTTGCAGAACTTGATGCAACGTGCCGGGCCCAAGGTTGGGTGGCAACTTCGGATTTTGCGATTTATGGGAGATCAGGTATGAATTTGATTGGATGTTGGGCAAGCGTTTAAGAAGGTTACTGGGGTTTTTGTCGCTGTGCATTTTATTTTTTAACCGCCGATTTTTTACTCCCAACTTATGTGGAATTGAAGATTGACGTTCGAATCTGAAAGGAAACAATTGTAGCTGGAAGACTCCTAAAACTTCAATAACTCTTTTCTAGAAATGAAATCCGCGTTTACTCAATCATACATTTATGAATGGTTTTGTTTTTGTTCCTATCAGTAAATGAGCCCAGGAACTCGGGTGTATTTCGCGCTTAGTGTCATAGACTGCAACTTTCTCGTGCGTGAGGTCTGTTCTCGAAATGATGTACAAAATGCAAACGTCATACAATTTCTTCCGAAGCATGTCCTCCGTTAGTCGTTGTTGTAAAGGGAGTGTTCTCGTGTGAACTTTTCCCGTTTTTTTTTCGACCAATACTGTAATCCAGTGACTTTTTTTTTTTGGGAACGATCGTTGAAAAAATCTGGATGTGGCCTGTAGTCGCTTGCGGTTTATAATGTCATGAGAACTGTTGTATGGGGTTGATATCTTGAATGAAAAACGTGAATTCATGCACTAAATGGAAGATTTTTCTCCGAAATACCGTCACGTTGAGTTTTTTATTTTTATTTTTTATTCTGTCGTGAAATTCTTGGATTTTAGATAGGTTCAAATAAAAAATTAAGCGATGTTTAAGGAAAACTTTTCACTATATCGGATGCGACCCAATTTTAAAGCAAGTTTGAAATACTGTACTGGATTAAAACTGCATGCTTTTTAAGTAGATTTAGGACTTCAATCCAAAAATTGTCTTGTCCGTCTTTGATTTGTCCTGTATCGGAATGGGAATCGAAATAAACTCAACATTTCTGGGAGGAAGCTGAAGAGGAAGTACACGCAATTGTTACTTTTTTTTACTTTAAAATAGCTATGCGTTGTTCGTCATCATTTTGACGTGGATTTTGGAATGGGGATCGCAATAAACTTCCAACATTTCTGAAAGAAAACTGTGTGAAGATACTGTACGCGCGCTTGTTGCTTCCTTACTTAGCTTTGTGCAGATTGGTATGAAAGTGAATGCGCTGGCGATTCGATGTCGAGAGAAAGCGATGCCGTATTCATGCGAATGATGAACGCCCGAGGACAGAATTCTCTTTTTTTTCCCTCTTTGAGACCTCAGCTTGCATATATCTCTTGGTCCAATGCTTAATCGCTTCAGCAGAAAATAACCACGGCTGGACAGCGCAATAAACCGAGTTTCAGAGCCGAGGTGATTATTCTCTGTCTCCCTAGTGCAGTGTGGGTCGTAACTTTTTATTTTCCTTCTCAAAGCCCGTTAGCATTCTTTCGGCACGTGATGCTTAATGTATATACTGTATATATATATATATATATATATTTTTTTTTTTTTTCACGTGTAGAGAAAGCACGTTCGCGCGTGAACGGAATGCGTCGTCGTTTGAAAAGGGGAAATAAACGTTGAGCAACTGTTCGTTATCGACGTTTTCATCATTACTTTTGATCGGTTCGAAATATTGTCCCATGTTTTTCCTTGACGACTTGTGTGTGTCGTGTGTGGAAAGATATGCGAATCGATTGCCTAGGCTAGCTTGCATATCGTTGAGAAGGAATGTGTGGTTTCGAAACGGGGTTTTCTCGTGGACGAGGAAATATTTCAGTTATTTTTCTGCTCGTCCGGAGCGGAAGCATATTTCTGTTGAGTAACTTCGGCGCCTTTTTGTTGTTGCCCAGGGTCGTGGGAAAATGATGGGATGAACTTCCGGGGTCTGGTTTTTTTTTTTTTTTTCTCGTCGTGGACACTTGGTAAATCATGGGCTGCTGATATCGATGATCTTGCATCGTGTCGTAACCTACATACCGGTATTTCGAAGCGTTTTTTTAAGGCATTTGGGCGTTTAATTAATGAGAACACCCTTCCTTATCAAGCGCAGCGTTTTGCAAGATCCGAACGAATTTTTCATGCTTGGAAAAAGTATGAGCGTCGTGGGAGAAGATAATTCTTTGAGATTCTATTCACCTTGGCCTCATTTATGCATTTTTTTTATTTAGCGCTTCTTGTGAAGGACTTACAAGATTTGCCACTTTTTTTTATCGTTTAGTCGGTTTGAAATTTCGTGTGGAGGTGCATCATTTTTCAAATTTTGAATCCCAATAATTTTTTTGCCTTAATTTTAAGTAGAAGTTTTGATATCTTGCAGGCAATTTTAACCCTCTTGACATCGCTCGAATAACTTCTAGGTCATGCACTCGACTCTTCATATGCAATCTGAAACGTTCAAGGGAAAGTTTTAGCCAGGTGTATAAATAAAAAATTGAAAAATCAATTCGTATCGAAATTTTAGAGTTCTTTGAAGGATTCATCTCATCTCTTGGTTGCATCATTATTTTATTTTTGGTATAAGAATAAATAGCAGCGGTTTCTTCTCACTCGATGCATTTCATCGAATTCGCGCTGACAGTTTCAGAATCCCGTTCAAAGACCGGAAAACTCTCAGGAAGAAGAAAGAATGCACTTTTTTTTCAAGAAAACTCTTTTCTGGGCGAAGACGATTCTCCGTCGAACAAAGTCGTCGTTTTTCTTCCGATGTCCGGCAACACGTTCCGTTCTTCATACTTTTTTTTTTTGATTTTGCGCTCCAAGTCCTCGGAAAAAAACAAGCCCGTTCAATTTTATTCTAAACATCGCGACGTCCACGATTTTTTGTCGAATTATTTGACACTACACATAAGTATGGAGTTTTGGAGTCCGAAACTCGTGAAAAGTTGGCGTCTGGTTTTTTTTTTTTTTTCGTTCACTTTCTACGCCCAGCTGAGTCGAGTACGTTTTTGAATTGTTGGTTGACGACGGTGCGGCCCGACGGGGTTCCTTGGTGCGTCACGTAGTCGGGGATCTCGACGCCGACTGCGACAAGTGGGGAGAAAAGGAGAAATTGAGCGGTTTTCATTGCAACGTACGCTATTCGTCGGGCGTTAAACTCTTGAGCGAGGAAAACGCCCTTTAATTTTCTGGTCGATGCAGAAGAATCTATTTCCTCCATCTTTATGTGCATTGTCCCAGAGATTGAAGAGCTCGAGTTATTTTTTCTGGATAACAATTAGCGTGGAACAAATGATCGCACGAAAAATTAACTGCTACAAGGTGTAACTAATTAAGTTTTTGATCTCGAACGGCTTCGCTACCGTGAATGCACAATTTCAGCTACCAGTTGCATTTCCTGTTCAACTTATGTATCTGACTTCGGGGTGAATATCTTATATGATTTCCAGCGAGTCGACTGCGTTAAAGAGTGTACCTTTAAATGGACCTAAAATTTCTGATATGAGATGTTCTGATGTTCTTGGAGACTTGCGTTACGCGATCATTGAAATTGGAGGATAAACTGGTGGGTAATTTTTCATTAGTTCATCGAATTTGGTAGTTAAAAGTTTCAATGAGAATAAAGCATCGAGAACTATTCCGACCTTTTATCAAATGATCTGAACATGTAAGCACTTTATTTTCGCAGTAAAATCTCGCTATAACGAATCTCGTTATAACCAATTCTTGCTCGCAACCTATTCGTTTTTCTAACCCCTCCCCTATAGCTACAATCTTATTTCAAATACTGTAATTTTTTATCAAGTGTATCTGTATAGTGAAGCCTTCTTCAAAGTTCCGACAGCTTCGTTTGAACGAGATTTTATTGTACAGTATTTTTGATAATCCGATGGCGACCGTATACCAGATATCATCCGGATTTCGTGCTCATTACTTATATTTAAATTTGCGTTTGCTGTTCATATTTTTTCAGCAATACCGCCTTCACTTCGGTGAAAGCCTATCATCAGTGCGAATGGATTATTCATCTTGAGTTTACTGGGCTCACGTTCATCTTTAAACCATGCGAGAGAAATGTGCCCTTGAATGGAACGTTTAAATTGTGTCTCGGGAGCCGCTAATTACGTGTTTCAGAACTACGAACGCGCATGACTGGATTCTGGGTCTTTGAGGCGAAAGGACAGGCTCTTAAAAAACAACATGCGAAGGTCAATTTTTTTTTCATTTATTTAAAAATTAGAGCCAGCTGTCGATCTTTGAGGCGATTATTCTTTAGATTTTCAACATTTTCAAGATTATTTTTTCTGATTATAAACCATGGAGCATCAAGATGGTGATTGTATAAATGCAGTACCATAATTATAATGTTTTATCCGGAGCAATTCGAAGTGTGCGTTTTTTTTTTTAAATCAAGTTGAAGGTTTTGGTACACGTGATCATCTTGGTTTAAAGTATGCCGTGTTGATATTGGGATACTTTTTCTAGTACTTCTCAGTACTTCGACTAGATCAATTGGATAATCCTGTGATTTTTGCGATCAGTGGTGTTGAGTCGTGTTTAAAGTGCCCATGAGGAAATCCATTGGTACTGAAGGCTTCATCCGAGATATACAATTTCCACAACTTTTGGATGATTTTTAAACTCTTGAAATGGGTTGGATAAGTTCAAAGCCGAAAGCGCTGTTGTTAGTAAAGCCGATAGTTCATGACTTGTACAGTCATTATTTAGTTATAACGAAAAACAGTCGTTGAGTATCATTAGTGAATACGAAGGAAGTAGAATATTGGCAAGTTGGGGTGTGTTCGGTGTTTCAAAAAGCGCGTATTAAAATAACATACGGTAACGTTTGCTGGGACTCCTGAAGCGCCGCGTGTAAGCCAGTCTTCGGAGCCACTCGAGAGCATCGGGCTGAACGGCTCGTGGCGACGGTTGCGGGTTGCACAGCATCTCTCGCAGCATCTTCTCGGTTTCCGCGTCGAGGATGACGTCGGAGTCGTCAGCGTCGGCTCCGTTGCTCGCGTATCCGTTGTTGTTGTTGTTGTTACTGTTGCCTAGGACGCCCGCTGCGCCGCCACTTGACCAAAAGGCCGCGTCCTTGTTGCTCAGCGTCGTCGCCGCGCAAAGCGCCGGCCACGTTGTTGACAGGAACGTGACGACGAGGGCTGCGACTGCTATTGTTTGCAGCCGGGGTTTAATGGCGCGATGTGAACCTGTTGAGGATTTCACAGAACCGTCCTTAGTTTGAGGGCAAATTTGTAATTTTTGAACGTTTCTTCATTTGAAATGCATTCGATTATTCTTCGGATTTTGTTGCTGTTGTTGCAGAAACGCGAGAATTTGAATTACTGTGAAGCGTAAGTCTCGATTATTATTCATTTTCGTGTCCGAATTCCTTCTACCGGATACTCGTGAAGAACAGGAATCTTTCTCTAGTTCAAAGGCGGAACCAAGATCTGAATAAATTATGGAATGCTAAAACTTCAATTTTGTTTCGCGTACCGCAAGAATGCATTCCGACTTTTGAACTGTTTAATGGATCAATAAAATTGAAGATGAGAAAAGTGGTTTTCCCCCGAAATTTCAAGTGAGTTCATTTCTTCCTGCTATTGCTTCCTGGTAATTCCGTGTACAATCTTCAAGACCGAAAATTGTGCGTTATCATCAAGGCCACTTTTCGAAAATGTATACGATTTACGGTGTGCAATGCGTATCTGGTAATGAGTTTTCGCGGGAGAGATTTCCGAAGCTGCTTGAAAATGATGAAATGAGCAGACTTGAATAAATCACGAAGTAACGGCGTTAAAAGGACTTGTGATGCATAAGCTTTTGAGTCGTTATGAACTTTGACACGTCGCAGCAGAATACCGCATTTGACAATCTCAGTTTCTTTAATGGGACGTTTTGCCATGACTAGATAAAATCTGGGCTTGTTGGGTGACCTGAAGACGTTTATGGCGGAATTTGTTTCTTTTAATGACCGACACACGGCCAAGTGTGTGGACATGCGTATTTAAGATCAGCGATAAGACTTGAAACCCGCTTGTCGGCTTCGTCGTAAATTCGAGGCACAAGTCGGGTCAACCCTCGGTTTCGGCAATAGTTCTCGCTTTACGAAGCTCTTATTTTTGTTTTTAAAGTCACTTGCTTGTCCGTTGAATTATCTCGTTTTTATTCAACTCTGAGAAAAAATAGACCCGCTGGAGCGTATTTGAAGGGGAATCGCGGAAATCTTGCGACTCCGAGCTATTTTTTTTTTTTATTTTTTATGAGAATGACACATTTTCTGATTTGAAGAACAAGAAATGCGCTGGGATTTTTGGCGAAGAATCAAAGAAACTTGCCTCCGTTTTTTTTTTCTGAAGGGTGGATGGCTAAATGCGAGGCAATGAGAATGTCGAGAGAACTTGGCAGGGATTCCATGATGTGCTCGCTAGAGAGGATTTATAAGTTTACTCTACATGGGGGGTCGATCTTCTCCGAAAAAGATCACAGGAAGTAGTTCGTACGGTGAGTGCATAACTCGGAGTTCGGGCAGCGGGTGATGAGTTTCGGGTCCTATTCGCTTACATTTTTTCTTCTCCCTGAAGGATTTATTGTTCATTATTCCCCTCGTCTCGTTAAGCAGAGCTTTTCGAAGGAAGTTTGTCTCGTTCTTGTTTTTCTGGGGTGAAATTGGAAGTTTCAGAGGTGCTCACCTGTTTGCTGGATTTTCATGGCTGCAGTTCGCTGGAGTTTCGAAGCCTTTGTGGATTCGTGTAGAAGAGAGCTGCTTCCCCGCTGTCGTCAGCGATTTATTCGGGGAAATTTGTCCTGTCTAAATAATCAAATTTTGGCCAAGTTAGCTTCATCTGAAACGAGGACACTCTTAAAGTCGCGAGATCGATTAAAATATTGAATTTTTGAATTTCTTCACGTAAATGGACACGAGCATATTTTCATGCTGATGAAATACCGATACATCCTGATTCATGTTATAGAAGGGAAGGTATATTTATTTAGGATCATGAATAAAATACCGCATAAGTTTAAAGGAGGTTTTTTAATGAACTGGGCATTTTATTTGGACGGATGCGATTCGGGAATTTTAATGTATGTATCACAAAATATTGAAATTTGTCGTAATCGTGTCTAGGCAAACGTCTAAATGGAAATAATCAATGTTTTGAGAAATTCCCAAGCACAGGACGGTTTGCGCTTCTTATAATTGTACGAATTTTTGCGTTTGCTTCTTGTATTATGTTTTCGTATAGAGCACTATAATGGAAACGTCGGAGCGTTTTTTTTTTATGATTAAAATACACTTTTTTCATGTGGTCACTTAATTAAGCTCGACTCATTAATGAATCTGAAGTAGCACGTCTGGTACTAGTTGGTTAATCTTGATGTTTTTACGCCTCTTTATTCAGTGTTATGTTTTGTAGGGCGTAAAACCCAAAACAAGGTGGTGAATGCAAACGATTTTATATATTAAAAAAAGCAGTTCCACTCCAAATGAGGTTCCAAACTAGCAGTTGATCAGTAAACCGAGAAAATTGCTAGAGATGAAGTGAGGTGGCTGCTTGACCTGGAGGCAGGGCACTGAGTTTCCCGTTGCCTCCGTCGAGGAATTTATTCATGCCTCGTGTCAGAGGGACGGTGTTGCGTGGGTGGAAATGCTTCGGTGATGCGCAGACTCGACGACGACGGGATGTTCCCTGCTGACGTCGGCTTGTTCTGGGACAACAACCCACAAAAAAGCCGTGTCCGTGAATAACTTCGGCGATCCATCGACATCATCGATGCTTCACGGAAATTAGTTGTCTATGATCGGATCCACTTTCCCGTTTGTCCTTTCTTTCAGATTTTCCTCTTTGGCTTTGCTGCTTGATTGAATCGCTGCTCTGGGTCTTTGGATTTGGTTCAAGTTTAGCGAAGAATAGTTAAACCCAGCAAGTTTTTTTTTTTTTTTTTCAAAGAAAATCTCGGTTTGTTTGGTTTAGAGAATGACGTAATGTTTTTCCTTATACAATTTTGCCTGCTCCTGTATCACTTGCGTTTGCTTTTACCGTAGTATCGATTGATCAGTCCAATAGTAAGTGAATCTGAAGTAGATCAATAAAAGAGGGTGTCTATACCGAAATGTGAGGAAGCACTGAACGAATTGTTCTCAAATGAGCTCCCTAGCCATGGCGATCCGAAGTAATGCCTTCAATTTGGACAGAATTCAAGCTGAATGTTAATTTTGGTAGATTTATTGTAATTTTTAACGTGGTACCCATTATTTTTGAGGATTTAAAATGCCGTTTTATTTCTTACAAATGTGTACTACAGTATGTGTGCCTACCCTGTACAATTTGATAGTATTTTATTTAATTCATCATGAAGAAAGTTGTCGGAGTGGTTGATGACTTGACGGTACTGAAGCAGTATCCCTTCTTGAAGTTCGTTGTGTTTTTTCGAGTGAAAAAATTGTTTCCGCTGCCAAAAGCATTCTTCGCTTTCATTTCTTTTTCCCGAAAATCTCGTGCAGCTGTAATCGCTGAATTTTTTACGATCCCAATGCGGGGCGGTAAAACAGATCGTGTAATCGAGTCGGCGGTTGTTTGGCACGAGTTACAAATGACCCGACATGTTCCCCGAGAAATGTGTAGCCGGACTGACATGGGCTCGAGGATTGGGTCAGGAGTTGATCCTTCACCGCGAACAAGCATCGAATAACGTTCATTTATTAGCCGGAGGGCTAAATTCGGCCTGTTGTGGTTGAGGAACTGATTCCTTCCCTGATGCACTGCTGTCTTGAAAGTTTCCGACCCGTTCTGGGGCCGTGGTTCATCGAAGTCGCTGATCCTTGCCTATTTTCTCACGAATCTCTTCTTAGCTGCGCCGTAGGATTGTGGTGAGATGTCGGCGGGAAAAAGATCTAAACCCACTTGCATTCTCGAAGTTTTTCGTATTTCCCTGGATGTGAGACGGTTTTTTTTTTTTTTTTCATCATGAATTGGCTCGCAACAAAAGATGGCGTCTTGCATTGGACTGCATCTTATGCTTATTGTCTGTCATCTTTGAATTTAATGTCAAGTGGTTCCTTCTGTCCAACTCTATCTTTCGAGTAAAAAAGAAGCCTGGCGTTTTACCAATTTCAGTTGTTTCAAGGCAATAGTATGGAAATATAAGGACCTATCACCGAGGAAACGAACTAAAATAATTCTGTGAATTTTTTTTTAGGTATACGATGTAATAAAAAGTATGTCCGTAAGTTCACGAATAATTTAGCTGGGAATCCAACCCTCATGTGTGAAAATAGCAATCTCTCGAATTACTTGAAAGGAAGAGCTCACAATGAAAACGATAATTAATCTTGAGAATTTGAATTTTTAGATTTCTAACAAAGGAGGTGTACCCTAAATTCAAGGGACCAGCTAAAAAAAAATCGAGTCAAGGGAACAAGTATTTTTGGGGGGGGGGGGGGTCAGAAATGCAGGAAATGGTAATTGGTGATATTCTGAGCCTTGTATTGCTTTTCAAATGAATTAGCGGGATGCTGAAATTTGAGGCTAGTATTGATTTTTTCAAAGTAATCCTTCCGAAGCAAATTGATATTATTTTTCCTATGACCGTAAATTATTGGCCGAAAGGCCTCCAGAATTATCGAGCTATGGAGGTTTTTAATGCTTTGATTCTAAGAAAAATCAGGTTCAAGTTATCGAGGTGTAAGTGTACAGACAAAAACTGAGCTTCTTGTAAGTGATCGAAAACGGTATTCCGTTTGATTACTACTGTTCCTAGCGTAACTAGACTATACCTTAGAGTTTGAGCAAGTAAGGGACACATTTTTGGGAGTCGGGTCACGCGCGAAGGCGACGCGGCGGAAGTAATTGACAGTGACCGACCTGCTCCGCATCCAGGGTAATCGACTTGCTTCCGCTCCCGTGCTTCGCGGAAATTTCCTATTTATTTTTTCGCCGTAAGTAGCAGTGATCGAAGCATGAAGGTATTTTATGCAAACCTTCGTGGTGTGAGGTTTCGCAAACCTCGTACAGCGGGGACGAGGTCGCGGAATTCGCCGTCTTGCGTGTTGCGAAAACTTCTCGAAAGAACAAAGAAACCCCAGTAGATGGTCTTTTATGTGGCCAAGTCGCGACCTTGTTCAACGAGGCCCGGTTGGTGTTTACGACGCTTTTCACTGCTTCAGTGTATATATATATTAGTGTATTTGTCTGTGGTACTTGATTTTGTGGGAGCTGCGCTCTTTGCGGGACGAAGACTTGGGTCTTGAAACTTGGCAATGGTCGAGGTCTAGGAAATTCAAAGGGGTCCGAGTGATGAATCGTCGGAAAACATGTCTTGCACTTCTTCTTGCTGCTAGAATGTGGTCTGCAAAGCTTGGGGAATGTTGTGTAGGTCGTCAAACGAATCGATATTTTGAGGAATCCATTAAATTGAGACATTTAGACGACGATGAAATGAGCGGTGTCAACCGAAAAGTGATTTTCGATTTTTCGGTGGAAGGTCTTCCAACCTTTTTTTCGAATTCATAACGTCGCTCTCACGAACAGAATCTTACTTCACAAATTCTGAATAAAATTTTAAAGAAATTGCGCGAAGTTATCGGGATTTTGTGACTGGGTTTCAAAATTAAAGTTCAAAGCTATAGAGATCTTTGCCTTTCGAGAAAGATTGTTCGCCCCGAAGAAAACCCATCATCTATCTGTAAATCTTGTGTTATTTGATGTTATTGCGAACAAATCGACCTGCGAAGTGTACGATGAGTCGCTTACGCCGAAATTGACTTTTTTCTGTATAAAATAAGTGCTTTCTCAACTATGCAGTTTAATGTCATTATTCTCTGCTCGTGATCGAACATTCTTCAGAAATTCGAAGTTTTGTTCCGAAATGAGAAGCTTCTGTTTGTGAACCACCTCTTTGTGTCATGAAATAATATGATTAGGTTGGAGAATTAAAGCAAAGCTTTCTTTGAAAAATGCTAATAGCTTGGCATCCGAAGATTCTAACAAATGTGGCAGATCTTTTCGGTTGACGAACCGATTCCGCCGACTCAGTCGAGCCAAACCTTCGCTCACGAAACCCTATAAAAAATAAAAAAAAACTCGTTCAGACAAGTATCTTCTATTTGTCTGCCACAGGAAACTTGGTTGCCTGTCGCGTCCGATTGAGCACGACTAGATGAAGGAATCCGATTAGGATTGACCTCGGTCTAAATTTATGGCCCCTGCGTTCGAGAACGTGTTATTTTGGCTCTTCGAATACCTCGAGGATTAGGTCGGAAGTGGTCGATCATGCGAATACGTGATGATGCTGGCTAGAAAATTGCCTTGTTTGTGCTTGCACCCCGCGAAGGAAGGAGTTGGATTGAGAGAAATGTCTGGTATGCTAGTCGCTTCGTCGCGCTTTGCTTTTGGTCCTGACTGACGAAGCGTGGTCTTGTTTGAGAATTCAGGATCGTGATGTGGGTAAGAATCATCACGTCGTGGTATTGAACCCTGTCGCTATGATTTCTGCGCGAGACGAAGTCCATCATATTCGGAGAACCCGGCAGCGTACTCGACGTGTTCGTCGCCTTGTACTTTACCTTGAACTTATTTCTAGTACAGTATATTGTGAAGTTTCTCTCGGATAGGTTAGCATGGTTTTCTTGGAAGAATAGGTCTGCGGTAATTTTTTTTTTCTTCTCTGCTGCGAAAAATCTCTGCAATTTTCTAAAAGTCTCAGTAAACTTTTCAGTAATTTTTGACTATTGTTTATCCTCAAGATAAAATCCTGGGGTATAGTGAGTCGTCATTTGGTCCACTTCATATTTCAAAACGAGATGAAAACACAGAAAGTCCGCCGAACATGAACCTCCAAGTTCGATTTCAGCTGAAAGTTGTTGCATTGACAAATCGAAATCTTGGAGTTTACTGCATATTTTTGTGCTCTGTTCAGGAATTAACGTCCATTTTCTTTGGCATCCAAATTCTGTAGATCATTTCGGGTGCAATGCTTCGAGTTCTGCTGAAAACGCTTCCAAGATATGTTTTTGTCGCTGGAAGCCTCCAAGAACGACCATCGTCGTTATCTGTTTGTAGTTTATGGCTTGAAGTCGGCTCTAAAGTTATAAATACAATTTAGTACAGTACTTCCTGGTATGCAAGTAGATCATTATTACCTCGTTGATTTTTTTATGACCGCGGCTCTGTTCTTGATTAAAGCATCGGCTTCTTTTTTCCCCTGCGTTTCACTCGTCACCTGCATTAAACCAAAGCGACGCTGAGATGAACATGTTAAGAACGCTGATGAACGTTTCACGCCCCGATTTTTCGCGTTAACCCAGTCCCAAACGTGCGTCTAGTTCCCTAATCATGCCTTTTTGTTCCGTCATTTATTTTTTAGTGATGTTAGTTCCATGAATTTATTGTTGGATTGCCTTCGAGGTCAAGCTGGGCAGATGATCGCGTCTGCTTTTTTTTTTTTTTTTTTTTTGACTCGCTCGTCATTGCGACAGCGTCCTCGCATGACTGTTCGTTTTTTTTTTTTTTTTTTTTTTTTTTCTGACTCGCTCGTCATTGCGTGCGTGTGCGCTCGACGTTTTTGAAGCCACTCCACGCGAGCAGAGGTATTTCTAAGAGTCCTTAAATGCTTACCCGAGAGGAACGGAATGCAGGGGAGGAGAACCTGGGTTAATGGGCTCGTTCGTATTTTATTCTGGGTTCTCATCTTTTCTTGCGAGGTTTAAAAGAAAATACGGTAATGATAATTTTCTATTCGAATTTTTTCTAGTAAAAATACGCGTGATTTCGTTCGTGATGAGTCAATCTTTATGCGTGTTGCTCGAGTTTAAAAACATATACTGTAGTTTGTTCAAACGCGGGAATTTCCGGGTATTGGACTGCGAACTCGTTCCTTGTCGTATCGTGGGGAAACGCGATATATTAGGGATTACGGTACTGTATATTCCCTTTTAATCTCCGCCTGACTCGTAATATTCCCACGAAAATTATAGCTATATCTATGCCAGCCGACGAAAGTGTTGAAATTCCGTTTATCCGTTGGGGAGAAACACGAGAATGTGCCTGTAGAATGGCGTGCTTCCGTCGCGATGTTTGGGAGAGGGAGAGAGAATTTGGGTTAACATGCCGCAGCGTTTCCTGATGCCGTGCTTGGGAAAATTCATTTACACCGTCGGAAATGGGAGGGCACTGAAATGTAACGTTCCACCGGTCGATGAGGTGCTGCATATGTAGTACTGTATAGTATATATTTTTCAGGAGATTTTTGACAGCTAGTGTCTGCATAGTTCAACCCTGTGCAACAATACCCCGGAGAATAAATTGTTGAAATTCTAGTGAAGATTCCCTTATGCTAATGAAAAAGTCTCCCCAAAGATTTCGATGGACCCCTCTTCGCCGATTTTCTTTAACGCTTGGTGCGGAAAAATGATGAGTAAATGTACGAGAATCAAGTGGGGGCGACACGATTTAGGGGTATTTCGAAAAATACATTTTCAAAAGCTTAGGAAAAGGGAGTGGAAGTTGCATTTTGATGTGTTGATTGAAAATCTTCGCCACAGACCTGTTCTCGTAAAATTTGGGATCCTTGTATCGGTCCTTTGGCACCGCCTTTTTCTGTATGGATTGGGCTAAATTTTAATTAAATGGGCATCGAATTAACTGAGCCTAATCATCCATTCACTGAGAGGAAACAAATTTGCCTGCATACCTCATTTTTCCTCGTTAGCCGCCTTGTTCCTGTTTGGTGAGAATTAATCCAGTTTCATGCACTTGGCACAGTATTTCAGGAATGAGCAGCAAGTTCATTTTTGCGTGTTTTTACTCCTGAATGAAATTTGCTGACGGTATCTGATTTTCCGGGCGAGGGAAGTTGGTCATTAACCCGGATAATCGTAGTTCTAGAGATCATAAGGAAATACTGTATATTGCTGGGCTTTAACGCGGATTCGTGAGATGTTCCCCTTATGGAGGCTATACGGGTATACAGTAATTCAGACTATGGTTTGCGATGTTCCGTAGTTACTCCCCGCACCACGCCCCCTTTAAAAATATTTGAACAGTTGAAAAGCTGAGGAAAACAGAATATAAGTTGTATTCTTGTATGGGGTTCGCCTGCTTTTTTAATACAAAATATCTGAGGGAATGAGCGTGCAATATTAATATGAAATATGGTCGCTAAACCCGTGCAAGAGTTTTCTCTTCTCTGCACTTCGGGGATGTAAAATGGTTGAAGCCCACTTTTTTATGTTACATTGTTGAGTTTTTGTAGTCGCAGTTCGACGCGAGATGGGCTTTTATTTTTCAACTTTTTTGTCGACAATTTCGCTTCCCTTCGTCGGGGAAAAATACTTATTCGTGAATGTCATAATGTTTCTTGGCGATGTTTTGCGATGGAATTTTATTTAAAATTGTGTTTTATTTCTTTTTTCATCAGGATGCCGCGAATGAGCTTGCGGCATTGAGCCTGAGCGACGAAGAACGACGCGAGCGACTGTTGCTGGACGATGGGCCGCTGGGCGTGGTGTCGTTGCCGTCGTCGGCCGCCACGACGCCCGTGGGCATCGTGCAAGAGCCGCCATCACCAGCGGCGCGAGTCTTGCCGCCGTTTGGCTTCGGCGGCCCTGGCCCGATTCCGCAGCGCCAGGACTCGACGGGTAGCGGGAACGACGTAGCTGCTGTGCCTGGCGCCGCCGCTGGAGCCCACGAATTCCGCCACCACATCCACGTGTCGTCGGGACACGCAGCAGCCCGGGAACGTGAGCCGCCCCCACCGCCGCCGCATAGGATGCGGCCGAGATCCGGGTCGCCGGGCGACGGCGAGCCGCAGCCCATCGTCTTTATGCCTGACGACGAAAGCGTGAGTTTTCCCTCTATTTTTTTCTGATGCAGGCAGGATACGGGAATGTTAATGTCTTATTCGTTGGATCTTTTGTCTCATTGAATGGACTTTTTAAATCATTCCTCGTTTTTTCTGTACTGTACAAGTGATACGTAAACAATTGTGGTCGTTTTTTTTTTATCAGCGACCTTGCTTATGTTCGGCATGCATTTCTTTTTTTTATTCATGATGAAATTTGGATGGGGAGGAAAAATCGAAGTCATACTGATTGGAAAATAATTATCGTGGATTGATTGCCATTTCTTGAACTTCATGATTTTAAAAACGCGCGTGACGTAAAATTTTCGTCTAACCCTACGTAATCGAAGTTGATCGGTACTTACAGTACACAACAGCAATTTTCTTCGTCAATGTCGGGACTTGAAAAATCGTCGATGAAGAAGTTCAGCGATCTATGGAAGGGGAATCTTCATGTCTGTTTATAATTGCCGATGTTATCTTGCAATGTATTAGTTTATCCAATTGTTTCGCTTCATCGAAGATTTTTCTCATTTGACGTTTATTATGCCTTTCTGAAAGACTAATAGATGCGGTGAGTTTTTTCTCGTCCCGGTAGTATGGAAAGGCCGCTTTAATCTTCATGAATTTTATTGGTACTGTGTCTTTAAAATTTTGCGATCAATTATTTTTGAGACATTTGTTATTTTTTTCCAAATGATTGCGCTTGAGAATATTTGTTTTGCAGTAATGTACAGTATAACGAATTATTGTAACAACTGTGGAAAATTTTTTTAATAATACGATTTCGAATGTATACCCCGAAGTTGGTTTTTTTTTAATTGCCCCACTTCGGTGTGGGCAAATCACGTCGAATCTTCGAGTGCCTTGGAGGCTTAGACGAAGCGTTTAGCATGATCGAGTGTTTGATGCCGACTGACTCAAGTAAACAATGAGTTGAAATGTGAGGTATCTTGTTGCAGTCACCGGAGCCTCCAGCGAGACGCCACCAGACTCGCAGAATGGAGTCGAGAGAACCAGGAATGCCCTACGAGGCAGCCCGACCTTCCGCATCCCAGTTGATCTTCTCCCAAGGGATGGCCCTGGACCAGTTCCGGCTCATTTCTGTGCTCGGGCGCGGCCATTTCGGCAAGGTTCGTTGCACTTTTCCAATCACAAAATTTCTCGCTTTGTTTACATTCAGAGATGGATTTTTCTCTTTTTTCCCCCTTCTCTGTCGTCGGTCGAATTGCAAATTTTAATGAAAAAGCACACTGGTTTTGATCGCCTCTAGAGCTCGTGCTGTTGACGGACACGAAGGTGCACGATTTCCGCGCGCGCTCTTGAATTTTCCCCTATTTCCACTCATCCTTGTGAAGTAAGCTTGAAAAGTTCCTGCAATATTTGAATGTTCGAATCCTTCCTGGTCTCTCACTGTGTCTTCATTTTCTCTCCTATCGTTGACCATGAATTGCGACATCCAGTTACAGTACCCGCACATTTTGCCTTTTAATATTTTCTCAATGGGGATAGAAATGCAATGCCCAACAAAGAAAACGAATTTCCCCGCGAAGTTTGAGACAATTAGAGGAGAATGAAGCGGAACGAGTTGAAATTATTAACGCGGGGTTTTCTTCTCTATTGAACGCAATCTTGGACATGGTTGAACGAAGCTTAGCATTTTGAAGTTATACCGATATGTTCCAGTACCCAGAAAAAATCATGGTATTCGCGGACTAAAATCGATGCTTCGCTGTGCTGCCTTTAATATTTTGCTTCTGAAAAGTTGCTCGAATTTTATCTCAATGCGAAAAATCATTCAATTTAGGAGGATCATTATTTATGTTTGGCGATCGGTTTCATTTTCAAATTTATCTGTTTCTTGTGCGATTTAATTTGATTTTTTCAATTACTGCGTATCATGTACTGTTCCAAGGTTACAATTTGATCAATTCGTGTGTTTGCAGGTGATCCTTTCGCAGTACCGGAATACCGGCGAATATTTTGCAATCAAGGCGCTGAAGAAGGGTGACATAATCAGCAGGGATGAAGTCGAGTCATTACTGGCAGAGAAGAGGATTTTTGAGGTTGTCAACTCGATCCGGCACCCATTTCTTGTCAACCTGTTCGCATGTTTCCAGACCGATGTGAGTTGTGCAAGACTGATTTTCTCGAGATATTCCCAACGTATTTGTTTACTTTGATGTCTCGCTGTATTATTATTTTTTTTGTCGCCAAACTGCGTCTTTCTTCACGTGTTCGTTTCTTTCCTTCATTTCATGGTTTTGATTTCTTCTTTCTTATTTTTTTTAGTAGTACAGTACTTAAAAGCAATGTCTTTTCCGGTCCTGAGGGCGGCATAAAAATTCCAAATATGTGATTAACGATGAGTTTATCGTTCTATATTTTAGTATCATAACTTGATCATTTACATTTTTATAGTAATACAGAATCGATTTTCAAAGAATGCCGCATCTGTGTCGTTCTCATGAATTACTGACGGAGACGTATTAGACTCTTCGTTGATAGTCACGTGGCTATTTTAATGCCTTATTCTGTGATCATTCATTTTTTCTATCAAAAATTGTACAGTACTGTATTTTGTCGACGCCTGTCCCGATTATTTTTTGGCCGGCACACATTTTCTCTCGCGGAATTTTTATTCATACATTTTTAAACTTGACAATCTTGGATCTTTCTCCCCGTGATATTGCAACGTCGAATCGTATTATTGCATAATTTTATGTGTGTGCAAAATTTTTATCTGCAGAGTCACGTGTGCTTTGTGATGGAGTACGCCGCTGGCGGGGATTTGATGATGCATATCCACGCCGATGTTTTCTCGGAGCCGAGAGCCGTATTTTATGCTGCTTGCGTTGTGCTCGGATTGCAATATTTGCACGAGCACAAAATCATTTACAGGTTGGCTTTTATTGGCTGTGTGCCTGTATGAAAAGTATTGCCTCCAGGCTTCCGTTTTAATTCGGCATAGAGTATCCAAAAAGTTACTTTCTTTTGCTAGAATTGTATTCCGTTTGATGAACGTTTATACCTTGCCCATTTTAGTCATGAATTGATCTAGTTCGAATAAATTTATCCTACAGTTATAATTTACATGTAGTCATCCTCTGTCCGCCTGATTACTAATTCAGAGAAGCGCTTCAATGGATTACGATATTTGAGTACTTGTGCAATTTTTATACTGTGTAAGGCTGAATGAATTTACAGAATTTTCTACTGCGCTCAATTTCTGTAGGCAGTGTGACTTGTTTCTGTATTATCCTCATTTAGTGGTTCTTCTTGCGAAAATTCTGGCACAGTTTCTACTTTAGTTGAATTTGGGCTTGATGAAAGTATTTTTTTTTTAAGCTTTCTCGAGTCGATTTTCGAATTTTGAAATAGATGAAGAGCCGGAAAAGAGAAGAAACGCCTTTGTTGAGAAACTTGTGACGACTTCAAGAAACTCGTTCAAATGCATTCTTTCTTGATAAATTTCTTAGTTTTTCTCCAAAAAAAATTTACAACTCGTCATATAAAGTGAAATCGAAGTAGTTCACTGTTTTCAAATTAAATTTGTCACAGTTTGACCCGAAAGGAACCAGAATTTAACCGACTTGTTTTCTCTTGAATTATTTCAGAGATTTGAAGTTGGATAATTTGCTGTTGGACACGGACGGCTACGTGAAAATCGGCGACTTCGGGTTATGCAAAGAAGGTATCGGGTATGGCGACAGAACGGGAACATTTTGCGGAACGCCGGAATTTTTAGCCCCGGAAGTTCTCCTCGAGTCAACCTACACACGCGCCGTGGACTGGTGGGGCCTTGGTGTGCTGATTTTTGAGATGTTGGTCGGCGAGGTGAGAAAGCGCTTGCATCTACCTGAAATCCGACTCTGACAGCAAATGGTGTCTTACTGATTTGTTTCCCTTCTGCGTGCGTGTTCTAGTCTCCTTTCCCGGGCGATGACGAAGAGGAAGTTTTCGATTCGATCGTGCACGAAGAGGTCAGGTACCCGCGGTGCTTATCGTTGGAGGCCATCGCGATCATGAGACGAGTGAGTTGTCTTTCATTCTGCCGCCTTGAAGCGGAGTTGATGATGATCTTTATGCGTCAGTGATGACAATAAGAAATTTTCTACCTGTCATCACTATTATCCTGACCGAGTTAAATTCATGGTTTTGTGTGTGCATTGTGAATGCAGATTATTTTGTATTTCTGTTGGAGGCTCGAGCGCTAGGCCCATTCAAGAACCCTTTGACCGATTTTCTGACGAAATTTTGATAGATGTCTTAGTTGGTCTACCGAGTGATGTAGAGGTAAAAACGTTGGATGATTTATGTATGTGTTGAATACTTTACTGGGCTTTGCTTTCCGTGCTAAAATACTTCCGTGCTTTTGACGAAAAAGGCTCGAGGAAATTTCAGGATAACTTTTGTCAGTAGAAGTAGATATGAATTCCAAAACGAAAAGTTATGTCTGAGCAACTGAATCTAGGCTGAAACTCACGTGATCAGCTTTGAAAATAACTCCGGGTTATACAGGTGCGACTCTCTACAGCGATTTTCCTTGTACAGTATGACGAATTTTCGTTTGGTTCTATAGGGTATAGGCATAGGCTTCTCTACCCATGTTGTAGGAATTTCCTATAAAATTTTCTCCGCTACGCATTTTTTCTGGTCCCCTGAATTTCGTCGTTGAGAGGGTCCACCTTTACTTTGCTTTCCCACCTTCCTAACACTCGAACACTTATTCCAGTAGTAATCTTGATATTATCCCCGAAGTAAGCTTTTTTCATTACCGCTGCATGAGACATCTTTTTTTTTTCTTTGGGAAAGCAGTACAATATAGTTTTTGCACAAGAGAAAAACTTCCAACTTCATGCCTTAATAGTAACTCTCGCCAGATGTGAACTAGCCCAGAATTTTAGAAGGGATGTCAAAAATTTGGGATGGGAAATATTTTATTAATCAGTGTTATTCAAGAAAATTGGTGATTGAAGTTGTCTTAATTCGTTTTGCGCTTCATACAGCTATTACGAAAGAATCCCGAGCGACGACTTGGATCCGGAGAAAAAGACGCGGAAGATGTGAAACGTCAAGCGTTCTTTCGACCCGTGAACTGGGACGATCTTCTGAAACGAAAAGTGAAACCACCGTTTGTACCCACAGTCGTAAGTGATGCCTTTCATTCTCATTTCTGCCTTATTTTCGAAAAATGGGGATTTTCATCTGATTTCCCTTTTATTATCCGTTCACAGCAATCAATGGAAGATGTTAGCAATTTCGATGAGGAATTCACGCGGGAGCTTGCAGTGCTGTCGCCGGCTCGAGAGCCGAGACAGCTGACCGACACCGAACAGTCGTTCTTCCGAGATTTCAATTACATGGCGGACTGGTGTTGAGTGTGACCGATTTTTTTGTTTTTTTCAACTCAACTCGTTCGTCTCGGGACTCGAGAGCCGCTTTAGAGGATCTGTGGACCGCAGTTCTCGGTACGCTGTCGATTTTGTTGCGTTTGTAGCCGCCGGTCTAAGTTATTCTCGCGCGAGTCCCGCTGGGTCAGAAGGTGTGATATTCCTAAGCCTACCTTTGGTCTGCCGTGTAGAGAGAAAAGCCGGGATGCAGAACAGCCTTTTTCTTTTCAGCCCACTCGTGTGCCGACGGCCTTACCCGTGGACTTCAAAAAACTGCCTGTTGTTTTTTTCTCGGTTTTGTTTAATTCGCCTTAGGGGCTCAATTCGGTTGGAAACCGTATTGCAATGGTTTTGTATTTTCGATGTGGGTGTGGCCGGGTGGCTTAAAACTTGTTGTACGAGCAAGTGTGCTTCGTAGCGCTGGAGATGTTTACGCGTGCACTCACAGCCAACTGTAACGGCGAAGCAGGTTGGGCGGTTGAAGAAATTCTTTCAATCGACGAGTTTGAATAGGTAAAGAAGCAAGAAGTGTGGAAGCTTATCTCAGAATAGGAGTTCTGGTCTTTTTACTGTAATCTGCAGGAACGTACAGGTCACAAGATATTGTGTTCCGAGTTTCCAGTTACTCCTTTGATTGTTCCTAGCTTGTGAGAAATATTTACGAATCGGGCGGTTCTTGATGTAACTTCAAACTGCCTGGAAGCTCTAGCTAATAGGAAGAAACGAATCATGATGATGATGACCGCATGTCAGCATCACACAGAGGAGAATCCAGCTTTTGCAAAATTCTTCCCAGGCGGCGGTTGTTGTTGTTTCATCAAACTTGTCAATTGGAGGAATTTCTCCCACTTCAACGTGAGCGTGTATGTAAGAAACTTGTCCTTTGTGCCTTCGGTTTTCCGTCCCGCAATCCTCGTGTGTGCTGCGTCGACCCCGTCCAGCTTAAGATAAGTTTCTCGTCCGGTTGCCCAAAAATTGATTGATTTGTGAAAACCAGGCTTGGATAACTGGATTTCGAATTTCCGCGCCTTCGACTGTAATTTTTTTTAATGCATGGATGACTCAGCATCGCGGGTCACCGTTGAACGGTGGCTGTTCGGGAAGTGCACAACTCAGACGTACGCCTCGTGTACAATTGTATCCTGGGAGAAGAAACAAAACGAAAACGGCTCTGGCGGATTCCCCGCGATTATGGGAAGAGGAAACCGTAATGAATAAATTTTTGTGACGTACAAAATTGGGATTCTTTTTTAATGTTATAAGATACGAAGTAAAATTGGCATATAACGATAACATAGTAAGAATATTTTATTTTCACCAGGAACAATTTTAAATACCAACTTTAAAACTTATGAAAGATTCATGAACGAGGAGTAAAATCATTTGAAAAATTACTCAAGTGTACGCGCAAAGAACAAAATCAAACCACTCAAACATCATCACAATCGCCGTTTCTGATGAAAATTATTACGATTCTTGCTGGATTCGCAATTCCTTCTGAATCGCATCACGGACTTTCCTGTTGATTTCCTCTTCGGCCTCTTGAACTTTGGATAGCAATCCTGCAATTTTCACCTTTGTCTCTCCTGCGAACGATGAATACCGATGCTAGTCATGAAGTGCATCCATCACGTATCTTACATTACAGTAATCTTGGTAGAAAATAATTTTAGAATCTAAAGCAATAATGCTCAAGTGACGCTCCTTGAGGGGAAAGTCTATATTGATGGGAATATAAAGAGGTATGGTCTGAACGCACATTACGTGAAATGGTGATAATGCAGGTAGATTGAAAACTCGTGCAGAAGTTTCGGAATAATCTTTTTAGTTTTTTGAATTTTTTAGAAACTTTGTTCCATATTCCAAATCGAATTCAACAAAAATCTGAGCGGAAGTAGGAGTCGTCTAGGAGTTCATCTCCCAAACTCCTACACGTCGCAGTCTCGAATCCAGTTCAAACTAAATGCTACTTTTGTATCATGAGTAAAGGTCGCATCTGCATTCTGAGAACAGTTTCAGTCTTAAAATGCGCGACTTCACAATTTAGATGACGAGCTATAAAAATATGGTATCATGGCGATAATGTAAGCTTGAAGGAACTTACCGGAATTTTCCTCCGCCTGTGCGTCAAACGCGATGTGCACTTCATACCTATCCTGCAGGGCACGAATATTGTGAGAACCACTGCCTTTCAAAAATCCAACAAACCTCTGAAAAGCAGATCATCCATTTGAAAAAATGTATATGGAAAAACCAACGAGTAACTCATATACCGTGGGGACTGAAAACGTTTTTCTAGCCCTACTTTTCTGCTCACGGAAGAAATTCCACAGCATGACTTCTGCCACCGTAACATCTCCAGGAAGTCCAGTAATTCTAACTCTCTTCCTCGGAGCTGAAAAAAATCGTTGAAGAATTTTACATTGAACATGCATGTCATTTGATGGCCAGTCCACTTACCGTCAGCGCTACCCTGAGCCAAGGCATGCGGAATTTCCTCCTCTTTCAATTTGGTCGCACTTTTTAATTGAAAGTCTTGCAGTGCATTGAACCCGTGTTCCCGTAAACAATGCTCCTTCCTCGCAGGTATCGGGAAGAAGGCCATCACAAATTTTTCCTCAACTTTCTAAAAATCAGGCGTTTTTAAACACAGCGCAACATCATCGTTTCATAAGAGGACTGTCCGTGTTCGTTCGTTGTCAGCATGAAGACAAATATTCACAGCTTCACGTGTATCGCAGAAATACCCGAAGAAAATTCTAACTGCATAACGTATGATGGTTCACAAGTTTTCGCAGCACCTTGGAATTAAGTTTTCAACAACGCTTTAAAGTCAAAATCTATCGATTTTATCGAGCCTCGGTAGTACGAAAGCACCTGAAGCAAATCTTGATCCATCCTCTCGAGGATATTTTTCAGCACGCCTGACTTCGGCAACCTCTTTCACACCAATTGATTGAGCATTATTTAACCTCGCACTCGGGATCGATAGCAAGATATTTTAAAATATTCCAGCTCATTTCCTTCCGAACATAGTGGTGAACATAATCTAGAACATTGGTCACGATGTAAATACTGTTCGATGGTTTCGAGCGCCTAGATATTCATAAAAAATTATACCGAGTCAGATATATCAAATTTCTTCAGTGTTACATTCCTTTCGCTCTTCATTTTAATGTGTACGAGCAAAAATTGAAACAACTGGTTGAAAATGGTTGAATATTCGTCAAGTAAATAAGAATATCGCGCATTTCCATCCACCCAACAAGACTCCAACAAAAGAAGCTCAGGGCCGAAAAAAACTTGTGAACCAACTCTCGCGCCAATCAGATCGAAAGCGATTTTTGCAATTACCACGTATATACCGTACTATCGTTAAGGCGCTATCCAAAATAACGACTGGGGTAGGTATACAGTATCTCTAATTTGCAGAATTCCAAAGAACTTGATTAATTCCTGGCAACTTACCGGCTTCTTGGAATTGCGGAGTCGTCTAACCAAAACTGCGGTTCCAACAAGAGCACTAACACAGGCCGCCGAGCCAATCCAAGTTTGCAAATTACTAGGTTCTTGGATCAACATCTTCAACAAATAAAATTAGATAAAAGAAAACGCATAACCTCTGAACGTACCAAGCATCAAGTCCAGAATGGATAACAAATTCACTGCACTTCAACATTTGATCATTACAAGCGGGTGATCAAACTGGAAATTTATCGGATACTTGTACCCTTAAGACGCGTAACATCCTCCAGAATCAAGAGACTCCGTCCTCGCTTTGGCTGTACCTAAATTACAGTAAAGCACGCGACATGAACACTTTCACTAATGCCCAGAAAGCTCGGAAGAGTTATTTCGATCAGTGGCTTCCATCCAGTAAAACATCGAGTATGTTGACAGGTCCCTGTCAAAATAAAAACGTCATATACTGCTCGTGACCAACGCTGAGGAACGGCATGCAAATTTACCTTCCAGCTATCGCTCCGATCGATCAAAGCAACTTCCGGAGTTTTATACGATTCCTTGAAGAGCGGTGGATTGGCACCATTAGTTTTCATGCCGATTTTGATCAAGGATAACGGCTTGACGCGACCGACATGCGAAAAGCGTTCGAATGCATCAACTGTCTGCTTATCACTGCAATAAGACGGATCACGATCTTCAATACTACTGGGATTTTCTGTACACGGATGAACCAGAAAAATGAATTTTCAACACACACAACCTCCAAAACGGTTGAGGTGAGGATGCAAATTAAATTGATTTCATCGGCAAATTTGAGGATATTGAATCATTAAAAGCAAAAATGTTTCAAAATTTGATTACCACCTACTATGGGTGTAACTTTAATAGGAAAGCTGCATTCTAAGAAACCTTTTTACAAATTTGACGTAGGGAGGTATTCTATTTGAGGAGGTTCAGCTGTAATTCCAGAATGATGAGATGCAATTAAAATGAGGAGGTTCAGCTGTAATTCCAGAATGATGAGATGCAATTAAAATGAGCTCATGTGATTTACCATGCTGAAATCCCAGCCAACGAGCACTCAATCGCTTGAAAGCGCAATTCCGCGTGACAAAGGTTCAAGGGAAGCACTCGTCGAATTTCTACATCTTCGGAGCCCCCAATATCAGCGAAAAATACGCCAACTTTGTCGTGAGCTTCATGCGTCGGCGGTTTCATGACCACAGCCCGATAAAAACGTTCATCCTGAGGAACTTTCACGGCAACTAAAGCTCCCGGCAGCAATTCGTCAATCTGAAAATAAAGCGCAGAAAATGTCGAGTTTGGTAGAGTGAGGAAAAATCCTCTGAACTCGAACTCGAGAAAAGTTAGGATCTCCCAAGCAATTCGGTATCTTTCAAATCAAAGTCGGTATAAAGAAAATCTGGATACAATTGATCATTCGGTGCAGTACTACTGGATTTAATTTTTGGAAGCTTTCAAAATTTGTCCCAAAGAGAGTTTAATTGTGATCTTATATATTTAAAGATTTCTGAAGCCTCATTTATTGAGGATTTACAGAAAACTCTAGCTTAGCGTTATCATCTTGAACCAGATAATCAATTTTCAAGTGAACCAATTCTTCACCTCTGCAGGATGACAATTTTGCTCCCCGTAGAACGTCCACATATCCGACATAAGTTTATCCAGCTGTATGCTTGGAGTTCCCGCAAGCTGTACCCAGAATTGAGATGGGCCCAGTTCCGACAGGCTGGTAACATAAATCTCAAATGATCCATCTGCTCCACCAGAATCTAATGATTCCCACAACATTCCACTGGAACGCTGAAAAAAGAGATGAAAAACTGTCCTACATTTTTATTTTTGTTTCTCGATCCGAAAAAAATCGTAATTGAGGATTTGTATTTGTATTAAAAGCATACTCAGTAAACAGTACAAGGAATACAGTATGGTTATCATAAACGAAGTTATTCATAAAATAGTTCACCCTATGGTCGATCGTAAAGATAGGTCGTTGTTCCGTCGGAACTCCCAGTGAATTTTCATGACAAGTCGGCATTTCTGGAACAGCTATAAAATAATAAACCCATCACAAAATGTAGCTTCTTTTATGGACTTTTCCGGTCAGGTTTTCTTCAAGCTTGATCGAACAAGAAGAGATTAGGGATGAAATCAGCTCAATTTTTTCCTCGACATTCAACCCAAAAAAATGAATGAGACTTCTCAGCGCAGCCTGCAGAAATTTCTAGTAGATTTCTACTCATTCTTGTTATCTTGTGAAAATTACAGTATCACAGGATTTATTTCAAAGCCGCAAATACATACATTCTTTAATTAGACGATAAGATCCACAAAAAGGAAAATATGCAGAGAATAATAGAAAGGAACCTACTTGGATTGGGCAGCGACTCTTCAGCGCCACGGCCAAGACTGCTTTTTTCTCCTTTCAACGCTTGCATCAGTTCATTGATTTTTCTCTTAGCCATGTTCACGAGTGCGAAAGAGGGTGCGTTTAAGTTGCGACTTGCTTATTTTTTGTATAAAGTCCGTTACGAGTACTTTTATTCCTTTCCGTCCGAATGAGAGTCTTCAACACGGCACCTTTAGCTCAAACAAGTCCCCAGTATCCGCTTTCAACGACTTGATCGTCGTGCCATTTTTTCCTTTGATATATCGCACCATCTCCTGCAGAACCGATTCATTACCTCAATATTTGACCCATTTTCCGCACATAGAGAATACTAACCCGAGGAATGGTTAACGTTTCGTCGATCGGATATTCACGGATGAGGACCCTAAGCTGTTTTTCAGCTTCTATGATCCCCAGAGTACATCCGGAGATCAGGCATTTCCTTCGTGCAGGATCAACTGAAAAATAAACCCATTCACTTCGAAGTAAATTGTGGAACTTTCATAGAACAATACATGACTGAACAGATTAAGCGTGACCCAACCTGAATGCACAAAAAAAATTTTCAATACTAGAACTAACCAATGTAAATCAACTTGACTAGCCTAATGCTCAACTTATCTGATGCTCTGTGAACTCAGAATGAGTTCACAGTTCCAGCGTAGCAAAGGTTGCTTTTTAGTGTATTACAATTTCTGATTTTACGGTCGGTTACTTAATACTTTCAACAACATCTGAAGCAGCATGATTGGAAGGAACTTAATTGTGTATCGTACGTACATTCGTCAAATCGTATCTCGGTATCCGTAGCTGCTTCAATTGATGCCAATTTCTCTCGCTCGTGACTGAAAAGATATGCAACTTGACCTGATGGCAAAAGGAAGCTCTTTGTCCCACGAAGGCTTATAATATCTCCAGCAATTGCTTGCTCCTGAAGAAAATATTCAAAAACTCTGCGTAAACAACCTCAATCAATCATACAAATGCAGAAATTGTGAGGCACTGAAGCAAACATTGAACTTGCCTTCTCGCGCAGTTGTTTTATGTCTCGACGGCGAGGCTGACGTGGTCGTGTTTGTCGACTTCGCTGGTTCTAGACTCTTGAGAAGTATAATTAGACTTCTTGTGTTTGAGCTTCAGTCATCTTTTCGTTGCTTTATGAAGCGAAAGAAAATAAAAAGAACAATTCGTCTCGATAGCTCAGATGTCCTTGGCTTTTAGAGGCAATACAAAGGAAGCGCAGTCTCGGATCAAGCTAACTTTAGGTTTATCTACAAAAATTTTGCATTCTACGCAAATATGAAAAAACGCGAAAATAAAAGTATGCACTACAAAATGGGGAATAGTGTCGCTGAAACATTTCAGATCACACGGCACAAAATAGCTTTCAAACTTCGACGTGCTCGAGCTCACGTTCCAAATCCGTGATTGAACTCAGGACCGATTTTTCCTCTTCTTCGTCCAAAGTCATCATCATTCGTTGAAGCAGTGCTTTCACTTCGTTCAAGTCCTGAAAAAAAAGGTCCAACGCTTTCGTCTTCAACTTTACACAACATAACGCATATTAAGCGTGAAACACTGGTAAAAAGAGAAAGGCACACATTTCCAATAGATCTAGGAAATCCTTATTATTTTTTCAAACTTCTCATGTTCTAAGCACTGTACTGTATTGTATCGCATGGATTCAGAAGCAGACTTAAAATACTGTAATCTTTGAATATAAGAAATACGGCACACCATATATGTTGAATACTCAACCGATCAAAAGTAACGAAATCCAATCAGTACCACATTTTTTTTAAACACCCCTTTCATAAATTACAGAGAATTCCGGACAAAAGGCGTCAATAGACGAATAAAATTTGTTTTTCCATAAAATCATGAGTTAAGTGGTAGGGGATTGAACATTTGATTCGGTAAAACAATAGGTCTCGGCGGCTTCTCCTGTAATTTCTAGAACTGATACATTGCTCGTAACAAAAAAATACATTACCTTCATTGCACGCATGTGAGATTCAATCTTGGTAACAGCACCATTCAACCGCTCCGACAGTTGGGTATCGTAAATGAATTTGCTATGGAGTCGTTTGATGTTGTCTTCATGAATGGCAGCGAAATCAACATTTCCTCTTCGTTTTGCTCTCAAAAGATTAGTCTCTTCTTTTGTGATCAGTTCCCTGACTTTGTTTGCACTTCGCCTAGTGCGCTTCGTCAAGGATCGAAGTTGTTGCAGAGCTTCCTCCAGAGATACGTTTTCCAAACGCGTTCTTGTGGGTGATCCGACTTTCGGGTCGTCGGTGGATTCCTTTTCTTCCGAATCCTGATCTCGCTTCTCACAGAAAGAAAAAAATCATCACAATGCGGAAATCAAAAACAGACAGAATGGAATGGAGTGATTTCAGGTTCAGGTATTATTGAAGCAAATGATTATAGTACATTAGTACTGTATAAGAAGAAAAAAGCTAATAACCAATTGTTCCACTGAATCAATATCTTAGTCTCTTCCGCAACTTCTTTTCTTTGCTGGAGTATAGCGCGATTTTTCGAGCAGATCTGAACAATCCTTGAATCCTTAAGGAATGATATAGGTGTTGCAGTATTTTAAAATGTAACGGCAGAATACAGTGAGAAGGAATATGCGATCGTATCACTCACGTACTGTACTTTTATACCCATACAATGCCTCAGAAAACAAGGCTTCAAAAGACCCAAATGTTATTCATTACATCGCGAGCTATTTTCCTCTAATTCCTTTCCTCCTTTTTAATTACATGATGTCCTAGATGGTATGATTTAATGGCAAGAATGCATCACGCTGAAGCGTTCAGCCGAAGTGCAGATATCGTCAGACTCATCGAAATGAATCCCCCCAAACGCTGAGGGTTCGACTTCTCCCAAAAAAAATTCCGGAATGACCAACCGATTTTCGACGGTGGGTGATGAATAGGTAAACCCAGTAGGACGCAGTCAAGACGCTCACAGCTCCCACGCCGATGATCACCTTCGATCGAAAATCCATTCCATTGCTCCGCTTCAATAAAGAGTTACGATTAATGTGAAGAACAGGATAGAATCGCGACATAAATTCTACAGATGCTTCAAAGCGGAACTCGCAAAGGAATCTGATACTCTTGGAAAGGTCAGAGGAGTCACGAAACTTACTTTCATTCACCTGAAAAATCCATTTTCTTCGGGTTTGTGACACCTGTACAACCTAGGCAAACGCGAGAATGAAAAATTACGTCTGCATGGACGGATAGACTGTCACCAATGGTGGGAATAATTCATCAAGCAGAGGAATGGTATAGTGAATACGAAGATTGCATTTCACAGCACCCGTAACTGAAAAACCACGAATGCATTCCGTTGCAGAATTCAAATAGTAGCCGTCCGGATCTCGCCCATCACTTCGATCAAACCACAAGAGGAACAAGTTCTCGAGGCTTCGTGGACAGTGAAATTCATTCCCACTTAACGATAAAAAGACCTGACAAATCATCACGAAAGTTGCATGTTACAGCACGACGACCAGCTTTTGATTCCGAAATGAATTGCATTCTAACGAAAGGTTACAAGGAGAAAAACAGGCATCGACAATTATTTCATTCAGTCAAATTTGGAATTTTATTTTTTGTGGGTACATATAATTCCATGATAAAACAAGTAAATCTCGCACGATCCTCGAACTACAGTACAATAAAATGGTCAAATAGAATCCCTTTCACATCTGAAAATATCATCATTCAATGGTTGAGTACACAGTACTTGACTGCTCTTCTGATGGTTCCTTTGTGCTCGGATGCCTCCTTTCACACACACTTACTAAACAGAACAATTACGATATTCTCGCGTCAACACGTTCACGATTCGAAAACCAATTCCATCACCTCAAAATCAGGGAATGAAATGAAAGGAATTAATTATGTGACAGGTATCGCCGCGGAACTCTTCCGAAAGTCTAGATTTGCGATCGCAACATCTTATTGCAGCGTTCCACTTCACCAATGCAAGCAAAATGAAAATTTGCGACTCCTTCAACACGAGATGATTCTTTGACATGGTCACCATGCGTTTCGGCCCACGACATCGAGAAACGCCCGAAGTGTGATAACGGAACTAGCGACAGCACAAATTGAATTTAACGACACGAACTATGCACCGTAGAGCAGCGCGCCGTTCGAGTCGGGCACATGGACGAACGCGTCACAACCGTAATACGCCGTTCTCTTCGAGAAAAAGATTTCGCACCTCCTGCCGTGACCCGGATTCGAACCGGGGTTGTTGCGGCCACAACGCAAAGTACTAACCACTATACGATCACGGCTACCAAGGGGTCCTTGTAGACTGGTGCTCGAAATTCTAGTATTACTAAAAATGGTGCAGCAAAGAAGTACGAAATACTGCATCTTCCCTGCTACTAGTATACTGTAGTTGTTGCAATGAGGTGGATTATTATCTGCAGAAGAACCAAGGAATTTTCTATGGTAATAGCTCAGGCTAACACATTTATAATCACTTTTGATCAACTGTGGCTGGAGGCAAGGCATCACATAGTTTTGCAAGGCGAAAATAACAATATGGTTTTGAATGAATAAGTTGAATAACATGTATATAGGTCGGAAGGGCATACGCCTCAGATACCTTCTTTAGACTTCGGGATTTATTTTTTTTTTTAAAGAGCAAACCGGATTTCTACACATTAGTACTGTAAATGGGAATTGGTTCCTTTATTATGATCATTCAGATCATTGTGGAAAAGATTACGGTTATATACTGTATACAATACCATTTGAGTTTCTTAATTTTCAAGAAAATCTGTTTCGAAATATCCCAATATCTCTTGGGCAATTATTACACCCTAAGAAAACTTGATACAGTAATGAGGAATAATATAGCTATCCATTTTTAGTTACAATGCAGCAGCACAGGTTAAAATGCCTCTAGACTGCTGTATATTGGTTTTAAACAAGGGCACTGCTGATGATGTCCACTGTTGCCAGACACATCTGGAAATTTGAATTTAAATACGGTAGGAAGGTTTGAATTGTTGAAGTTCGACATTGACTGCTGTATACCATGCAGTACATCGAATTATACCCACAGCAGCATAAGACTATATGAACCCTTCAACATTCTGTATAGTGCTAGGGATTATTTGGCACATTCAAGAAACATACTGTGGGAACAAGCAACATATATAATACTGTAGATGAATTAAAGAATCATTTGCCTTGACACAGTCTTTTCCAATATACTGTATGTACCTAAATTTTTACGCATCAATCTGAAACAATTCTGGATTTCAGTTCAGCCTGAACATTCCTCCCTGAAAATTTGCACTGTTTCTGTGCAGAAAAGCGTGTGTCTCAAGTTTAAAATCATTATACACCAGCAGACATACCCCAGAAAGCTTAACCAATATATTACACATTTATTCATCCAAATATCAGGGGAATACCAATTTATGTAGATGAATACATGTACCGTATGTGCAACGAAGTCGTGGCGCTGTATTTACTGCATTAAAGAATAAAACAGCACGCGTATGCGTACGGCTTTACGACTCTTGAGAAAAATTTCATGGAGAAACTTTCATATGCCTATTGAAGTATACAGACATCTCCATTGGCTTGAACTGGTTTCGTATCTTGCACTGCTACTATACATTACCGTATTACTTCATTCTTCAATGCACTTAATGTCTTCGACTAACAATTTATTGGGCCAGTTCTTATTATGAAGCTTACAAGAAGCGTGTTCAGTAGCTTTTAAAAGACAATCACATGGACATGGGCATGCGAAGAATTGAAATGTGCTCAGTCATAGAAAAACAATTTCGATATTTTCATTAACTCAAATGGCGATAATTCGAACAGAAAAGGGCTGCACTCCGTGCAATACGACTCCCGGTATGACACGCAACAAAAAAAAAAACATAATCCGCGCTGTCCACAAAAAAATATCTTCAGTTTATCACAGCTCCTTGCAAGTTCTATGAGAACTCTAACCGTCATGCAACACCGTCACGATGCTCGTCTGTGGAAAAACCCCTTTCTTATACATTTGACGACTGCAGTATGAACTATCTGCCCAAAATTGTTCGAATGAACGCTTCTAGTTTCTGCCCGAGTGCAGTTCGCGAAATCGCCATCAACACGATCAAGTACGGTATAATCAGATAAGCTTCATCACAATTCATACATCAACACTAGCAATCCAAAACTCCGGCGATCGCGACAAAAATGGTCACCAATGGAAACCCAAAAGGTGCAGTTATCGCAAGTTAATCTTCAGCGCTTCGCGATAACTTCCAGGATTGCATCCATGGCGGCATCAACATTCTCCCTGGAACTCCACAGACGCAGGATAGTAACTATGACGGATAATGGCAAAAGTCAAGAGGAGATCTAACACACATGCGCTGAAAATGCCGAAGTTCACCTGAATTTCCTCGCCAGAGGGAGACGACGCACACATGAAATGTGAGCTGCCCATGAACGCCTCGAAACCAGTTCATTTGAAATAATGCTGGATAGATCGTGAGGAATGTCGGCTGCAATAAATGATTGAAATAAAAAGTCTTGTCAGTGAATTGAAGGTCGGAGAACTGTCTTCGGGGAGCGAACTAGACACACGTTTTCACAAACAGTACTCAAATAATGTTGATTAAATAGAAAATGACTTAAAAATTACCACGACCAGTCATTCTCTCACAAGGCGAACACAATTTAATGTCAAAACCACGAAAACTGCATTCATCCATGTCAGGAAGTCCTCGCCTTTCAGTTTCAGGTTTCTGATATTTTTCCGCATTTCTAGGAACGTTATTTATACCGTACTCAGGAATCTCAATGGGTTATTGAACGCAGTGTGACAGCTTTCTGTCTTGATAGCTAATCTTCGCCAAGAGGAATTTCAAATTTTCAATATCAACATTTTCACTCATGAGCATGAACAAATTCTATAAGAACATTTTAGATAGCCCACGGTAATGCGTCCGAGATAGTTTGTGTGAAGCGAAAATTATTTTTCACCAACTGCATTTGTGATGTTTAAATTTAAGCACTCACAGTATCGAAGACAAGCTTTCCTTCGGAAACTTGAGGGAGACTCCGTAAAAAGTTCATAACTTGTGCTTCTGCACTCAGCACATTCAAGATTTCTCCGGATATTAGCCACTGCGTTTTATCTTCTCTGTCTATAGAAAAATAAAAAAATCAACAATCAACGGAATTCGGAAACCACACAGGAACTCACCATTGGCATGAAAAAGTTCAAATCTAGTGTTCGTGGCGACTTCTAAGGCATTTAGCCGCTCACGGTGCGGACCCAAGAAGTGGTGCGTGTGATGGAAAGGGACGGCAATTTCTAATACGACAGTTTTCTCTTCCTCTTCATCCTCAAAATGGTCGTCACAACAGACTCGTCTGANGGAATTGTACGGCGAATAAGCCGGTTCAATAATTCCTGCCTCTACGTATTCGTCAACCAACTTGGAAAAAAGCGCGTTAAGTTCGACAGATTGGCGGAAAGAACGCGTATTCGGGATGACGTCGCCCAATGTATGCAGCGCGACGGTGTGCTCGGGTAAAAAGCCGCAACGTCCCGACCATTGATGGAACATATCCCGATGCCTGAGGAGCATGTTGCGAAGCGCGGATCGCTCCGAGGGGTCGCCGTCGGTAAAAATAATGCCGTCCCCCGGCGGGAGGGTTGGGGTAGCGCGATTCTGGATAGTTCGCTGAAACCCGACAAAGGCGCGCTCGCCGTCGAAGGTGAGAGCAATCGGAAAGTGCCGAAGCGCGGTTTGCCCCAACAGCAGAGGAGGATCTGAAAGATGCGGAAGGATGAGGAAAGGGATAGAATAGTGTAATCCGCGAAAGAGGAAGTTGATGGTTACCTGCTGCGCCACCTTAGCCGTATCCGTGGTAAGGGCAGTAAGGACGTGGATCGAGCAGGGGCGGGGAGAAAGATTAAGGGAATCTACTAACTTCTGGGAGACAAAGGCGTGCGAGGCGCCTGTGTCGACGAGAGCAGGAACGGTAACGTCACCGATCTGAAGAGGAAGCACGATTGGCGGGGGTGCGGCGAGATCCGTGTCCACACAGTGTGCCGCGTTCACTGTGATGGCCTGGCATTTCCCTGCGTCTGCAGTGGGCAGTTCCGGCCGATGTGACCGGGCGCATGACAGTGATAGCAGTAGAAGGGTCTGTCGTTCTGCCCCGGTGGTTGAGATGTAGTTGTCGAAGTGGTTCGTCCCGTAGATGCCGCTGCCCCTGTTGGTGCCGAAGATCCGGTTCCCTCGGAAGGCGGTGGTGGAAGACGGCCCTGCTGATGGAGCAGGATGCGGCAATCTTGAGGTGAGTGCCGAACGTGAGCCTGGTGCCCCTCGCACCATTGTTGCTGGGGTCGGTTGCTTGACCCGGACTTGGCTGATGCCTTGGAACCGGTCCCGCTGCGCGACGTGGCGTGGTGATGTAGGCGATAACGTTCAGCTTCTGCGATGGCTTCCGGCCAGGACCAGTTGCGGTTGTCTATCCACTTCCGGCGGAGCTCGTCCTGAAGACCGGTTGGCACCGCGTTGACCAGTTGCTCGATAAGGATTTTCTGGCGGACCAGGTCCAGCGTGACCGGTTGCCCCGGCGGGTTGAGGAACGAGTTAAACAAGTGCTCTAACCTTCCGCTGAAGCTCACGAAAATTTCTCAGGACTGCGGGCGCAGCTGACGAAACCGGTCCAACCGGTCCAAGTGCGGGGTAGGATGAGATACCGCGATAGCGGCCACCAGCTCCTCAAACCCGACGATGCCACGTCCGTAGAGGATGGATGCGGTCTCCCGGACAAGTGCGTGTGTCTTGTTGAGCAGACACCATACTTTCATGTCGGCTGACACGTTGTTGATGGCCGGCATGCGTTGGAGGTGATCTGCATAGTCTTCGAAAGATTCGGACTCACGCTGGCGTGGTAGATCCGACAGTTGAGGTTCCCCCAGTGGACGCTGACTCTGTAGAGGGTATGTGGGCGGTACCGGCGTGGGTGCTACGATGACGATCTCCTGAGAGGTTGTTGGCGGGGCCCAGGATTGAATCTGCAAATCCAGTGGGCATTCTACGGTGGGCCCCCCGCCTTAGGTCGGGACCCGTTACCTACGGCCCTGGAACAACCTTCATTCATTGCTTTGCATCGAGAGTGCCAACCTTCTTCTGCCTCACGGGTCTGCTATGCGGAGCTGCAGATACTGCAGCGTTGGAAGCGGGACAGCCTCCCATTGGCCACACGGTGCTGGCGACGGCGTGTTGAAGGCCGGGATGGAAGGGCTCCGCGGAAGCGGGGTGGACGCCGGAGACGCCTGCCCTGTGGAAGGTCCCGCTGGAGCATCAGCTGGGTCCGGAACTGGAGCAGGGGGCACATAAGGCTGTGCCGCGGCTTTCGAATTTTCCGTGTTTCGTGTCATCTCGCTTGCGCTAGGACGATCGGGGCTATTGAACCGGACGAACCCCCAGTAAGATTTGATAAAGGAGTCTTTGTCCAGCGCAGCGGTAATCGGAGGATTTATTAATGTCCTTCTCCGAAATTACAGACAACACGAAAACACAACACAATCACAGTCACAAATAAAATAGCTCTTTCCAGGTCAGAAGTCAGAGAGTCTTCGTCCAGCGCAGCGGTAATCGGAGGATTTATTAATGTCCTTCTCCGAAATTACAGACAACACGAAAACACAACACAATCACAGTCACAAATAAAATAGCTCTTTCCAGGTCAGAAGTCAGAACTCAAGTGAAGTGTCTCTCATCGGTCTCCGCCGCATCTCCTCCAATAGTGATCACTATCTTCTCTCAGGTGACGACTGGGTGGGTGACGTGGACGGTTAGTCGAGGTACCGCTAGATGTCGCTCTAAGGGTCCTGGTAGGGATCCCTTACTAAAGTGAGGCACTCAATCAACACTGGATCTTGACCGCATCTCCTCCGATCTTGATAGTGATCTTGGTTCCGGTTGATGTCCAGGTGGGAGACTTAATGCTGATGTTTAGATTGGGATAGGTACCGGTAGATGTCGTTACTGAGGGGACCGGTCGGGATCTTGTCAGTTCCCCAGGGATCCCTTACTATTCCTCCAGAATCTCCGCCGCATCTCCTCCAATCGTGATCACTATCTTCTCTCAGGTGACAACTGGGTGGATGACGTGGACGGTTAGTTGAGGTACCGCTAGATGTCGCTCTAAGGGTCCTGGTAGGGATCCCTTACTGTATCTTGCACTGCTACTATACATTACCGTATTACATCATTCGTCAATGCACTTAATGTCTTCGACTAACAATTTATTGGGCCAGTTCTTATTATGAAGCTTACAAGAAGCGTGTTGAGTAGCTTGTAAAAGACAATCACATGGACATGGGCATGCGAAGAATTGAAATGTGCTCTGTCATAGAAAAACAATTTCGATATTTTCATTAACTCAAATGGCGATAATTCGAACAGAAAAGGGCTGCACTCCGTGCAATACGACTCCCGGTATGACACGCAACAAAAAAAAAAGATAATCCGCGGACAGGTGTTTTTTTATAGAAGTCAAATAGTGTCGAGGAACGTTCAAGATACTCTTGAGATTGGCAGTACGTTGTGGCAGTGCTACGAGCAGACACCTTTTTGGGGAAAGAATATGTAAACTGCTGACCAGTATGAACTATCTGCCCAAAATTGTTCGAATGAACGCTTCTAGTTTCTGCCCGAGTGCAGTTCGCGAAATCGCCATCAACACGATCAAGTACGGTATAATCAGATAAGCTTCATCACAATTCATACATCAACACTAGCAATCCAAAACTCCGGCGATCGCGACAAAAATGGTCACCAATGGAAACCCAAAAGGTGCAGTTATCGCAAGTTAATCTTCAGCGCTTCGCGATAACTTCCAGGATTGCATCCATGGCGGCATCAACATTCTCCCTGGAACTCCACAGACGCAGGATAGTAACTATGACGGATAATGGCAAAAGTCAAGAGGAGATCTAACACACATGCGCTGAAAATGCCGAAGTTCACCTGAATTTCCTCGCCAGAGGGAGACGACGCACACATGAAATGTGAGCTGCCCATGAACGCCTCGAAACCAGTTCATTTGAAATAATGCTGGATAGATCGTGAGGAATGTCGGCTGCAATAAATGATTGAAATAAAAAGTCTTGTCAGTGAATTGAAGGTCGGAGAACTGTCTTCGAGGAGCGAACTAGACACACGTTTTCACAAACAGTACTCAAATAATGTTGATTAAATAGAAAATGACTTAAAAATTACCACGACCAGTCATTCTCTCACGAGGCGAACACAATTTAATGTCAAAACCACGAAAACTGCATTCATCCATGTCAGGAAGTCCTCGCCTTTCAGTTTCAGGTTTCTGATATTTTTCCGCATTTCTAGGAACGTTATTTATACCGTACTCAGGAATCTCAATGGGTTATTGAACGCAGTGTGACAGCTTTCTGTCTTGATAGCTAATCTTCGCCAAGAGGAATTTCAAATTTTCAATATCAACATTTTCACTCATGAGCATGAACAAATTCTATAAGAACATTTTAGATAGCCCACGGTAATGCGTCCGAGATAGTTTGTGTGAAGCGAAAATTATTTTTCACCAACTGCATTTGTGATGTTTAAATTTAAGCACTCACAGTATCGAAGACAAGCTTTCCTTCGGAAACTTGAGGGAGACTCCGTAAAAAGTTCATAACTTGTGCTTCTGCACTCAGCACATTCAAGATTTCTCCGGATATTAGCCACTGCGTTTTATCTTCTTTGTCTATAGAAAAATAAAAAAATCAACAATCGACGGAATTCGGAAACCACACAGGAACTCACCATTGGCATGAAAAAGTTCAAATCTAGTGTTCGTGGCGACTTCTAAGGCATTTAGCCGCTCACGGTGCGGACCCAAGAAGTGGTGCGTGTGATGGAAAGGGACGGCAATTTCTAATACGACAGTTTTCTCTTCCTCTTCATCCTCAAAATGGTCGTCACAACAGACTCGTCTGAATTTTTTCTGGACATGAATACACCCCAAATCTTCATCGGTTAAATGAAACAGGAAAATCAATTACAGTACTTACGACAGAGAAGGTATACAAATGATGCGCGGCTAACAACGACCCTGCGGCAACTGAAACGCCAGCAATCTTCGCCACGCAATCCGCCGCAAGTGCCAAAATTTTAACAGCATTTTTTTGCATCATTCATATAATCGCTTCTTTCGCACTAATAATCTAAACAAAATGAATAGATCTCTAGCTCACATTTTACATTTTAAGAGGGTAGCCCAGGCAATAAACTCATCGGAACAAATCGTACATCACATAAGAAGGCTTCATGTGCAATTCGAAAAATCTCGACAGAAATGGTAATGTTGACCGATCAATAATAAAAAAAATCCGTTTCTTGCAAACGATACGCAATCCGAGACAGCTGAGGTTAACCGCCATCATGATTATTTAGGAAAAAATCCCTAATTGGCAAATCACTGCCATTCGCTTCCTCATGGTCACACTCCTCGAAGTTTCGCGAGACGCTGCGATAATTCATCCTGCTCAGCGGAAGCTTGCGTGGAGACCCCGACGGTACCAGCCGTAGGTAATTCCAGGTTCAAGTCCAACCTGAAGAACATATTCGATTATAATAGTGGGAGTGTTATTTGACGAAAGCGTAGAAACATGTTTCATACCCAGCCTCCTCGGCAGTCTTTTGCATCAATAAGTCCACATCAGCCTGCGGAACAGACGTCGTCGTAGTTTGAGACATGGCTTGGTCCATATACGAAGTTTGAACGTCCAAATCTTCGAAGTCTTTCTCGAATTTGTCCATCAGACCAGAAATTTTCTCCAAGTTCATCGACTTCATTGCGGAATCCATTGCTTTTACGACCCCTGCCATCGATTTCGTGACCTTCAACACCAGGCAATTGAAACGTGCGTTCATCGCTTGAACAAAACATCTTCACAATGCAACAAACCCTTTGGGTTGTCAAGGCTGACTGAACGCGGGACGCAACGGCATCAACCCTCGCTGACATTCGCAGATAGTTCAAGCTTTGATTCTTCTGTCTCACGGCATTTTCGGCATGAATGCGAGCAACATCCATGTTATTCTTCTCGATGGCTTTCTTCAATTTCAACTTTTCAGCTTTCTCTTCCTTCTCAGACTTCTTCGACTGTCTCTCGAGTTCCTTGACGGCAAACTTGAGCGAAAATAGATGGTCTGCAGCATTGTTAAGGAATCACACGTACTTCAGCTCAACTCCAAGAATTACAAAATGATATTTCGCACGAGTTTCATTCGTGAAAAGGATACTCTCCATCGCAGACATCGACATAATTGTCAAAACGGTTCGCACAGCTGCTTGCAATTATACTTGATGTTAATACACAGAAATAAATTCGATTAACAAAAAGTCAAGACACCGATTAAAGGGGATCACAAACCACGACGGATTTCTTGAAGAACGTCGCTTAAACGGTGTGGACATCCTTTACGTCCAATCACATCACAGATACAGCGTGAGTTATCTCAAAGAGCCCGACAAGAAAAGTGCACTGTTAACCAGCATTGAACCTATTCGAAAAACAAACGTGCGACTTAATTGCTTATCCATTATCAAAATGAACTTCAGATAGGGTGTATGCAAATTCGAGAATATTTAAAGAAAGCAGAATATTCATTTAAAATTAGGGAAACAACCAGATGCTGAATATTTTTAATGGGTACCAGCAGTTGTTCATTACTGTACTTGTACTTATTACCCTTGCTCACCAGGACAAGCTTTTGCCCCAGAAGCATAATTTCTGGAAAGTATGTGAGTGCGCCAGAATAGTAATAACAGGCTCTTTAAGCAAAAAATATATACGTGATAACTGGTGTACATCAGGAATTGTTTTCATTCCTCCTGCATAATATGTCACCCTTCAGACTCTTCAATGAATCATGTACTGTATATGCTTATTCTTATCAGCTGAATCATATACGTTTTACAGATATTTAAATTCCACGAAATAAACAATTTTCCAATTTTCTAGAAATGCTGGATGTTGGGTCAAGTTTCAAGTGTCCCCCAAAATCAGATTTTTGTCTGTGTACTGTATATCAAGGTGTCCATATATTTTGGGGTCTCACTGTGTCTGAATAAGCTAAATATTATCCTACGCATTCATTGGAGGATGTGATTTTGTATCTTTCTGATGCATCTTACAATCTCACGAAATCCCATTCCCGTACTGTATTTGACAACCATTATTTTGGGGAAGATACATTAGAAATCTTCATCAGCAGCAGCTTCAGACCCTTCTATGAATCATGTACTGTATATGCTGAATCATATACGGACAATACGGTATACAGCACAGTCCTGGTGAACAACTCAAAACTTGATACAAGTCAATTTTTCAATGAATACACAAATCGGAACGCAGTTTAACCCAAAAATCAATATTGCTGCTTTATTATCATAATCCTCAAATAAATAATACTGTCCGCAAAACAACATTGAATAAATTATCAAAAGAAAAATCCATACGCACAAAATTAGGTCAGCGAAACAAGGGGACAACGATTATATGAACGAAAAAAGTCCTCCTCAACTTTATTTCCAGAATAATAATAAAAAAGAAGAGCAAACTCAAACTTCAGGACTCATTCGTTAGTTTCAAAAGAACAGACCCATTCGTGTCACAGTCTGGTAACAAAGTGTCAATTTCAACCGACGTCTTCAATTTCTCTAAAACACCACTTTTTGAATCGTTATACGATCATACGATAGCGTTTATTTATTCACACTTGATCCACTTCCGTAAAAACGCAACCAGCATGATCCCATTCGGAAAAAATGATTTCCTAACCGATGAGTTTTGGTGGCTTCAGAAAGATGGGTTCATGTATGGTGGATCACCGTTGGCAATTACACATAGGAGCCATTTCCGAAAGCCGAGCAACGCGTACGAGAGAAACACTTTGCGCATATCGTCAAGAAGTTCAACAAAACAGGCGTCAAAACCCTGTCATTTCACATTCATAAAAATATCTCCTCGATGATTTCACGAACATTTTTTAGATGGTAAATGCAATAACAAGTCACCACTGCCCAGCAGGAAAGAAAAAATCCCCGATAAAGACGCGCACCGCTTCAACAGCATGAACAGCCGACAACGCATAAAACTATGACAAAAATGCAATTACAAATCTTTTCTTTTAAACTCGTCTCGGAGTGGAACAGAATCATTCACGCAGATATATCTCTTGCAGCTCAGTAGCAAAAAAAGACAATAAAAAGCGACCTTCGACACAGTCAATGTTTAGAAAAACAAAACCTGCATGCATTAAAACTGGATTGAAGGTATTCAAGCGCAAGTCAGTCAACGTGAAAAGCCAAGTCAGAAATTCCGTTGGAATTGAATGATCGCGTAAAATCTTCAAATGAAACAAGAAAGAGGAATCGGAGATTTCACATATGCGCGAACATGAAATAGATTCCATTCGAAGTCGGGGAGAATTCGTTCTGATCGAACTCGATTACTCGAATAGATCATCTACGCATTACTTATTTCAAATCAACACGGATCCGAATCAGGAAGAACAGCGCGGGACAAGGGAAAACAAATGAAAATGCCACCAGGAGTTCCTCGAATGGCAATATATAGCGAACATATTGCATCACGATCTGCTGCATGCTAGCTGTTGTCTATACTGTACTGTATTCGGCATCTCGAGACACAAAAACCAGCCCGATTCGTACATTCTTTTCCCTCATATATAAGTTCTCTCTCTCGCGCGCGGTTCGTCGAAATTTTGCAACAACAAAAAAAAAGCCACGTGGCGGCATCGCTCAATAAATTCACTGCAGCCAGAGTTCGCCGTTGCCCACGGTAGGTCGGCGAAGTTCACGTTTGCCAAAGAAGGTGTCCAACTGTGCAGAACCCGTGCGCAGTTTCTCGATCGGCACCAGCTTCACATCGTAGGAAGACAAGGACGACGGCGATCCAAGATCATCGGATCCGTTGAGCAACTCAGCTTCCAGCAAGGTCGCCACGTCACCCACCGGCGGCGTCCGGGGACTCTGAATCGGCTTCTCGCCGACGAACGAACTCTCCACCCATACACCTTTATTGCGATGCAAGTCATTTTAAAATGGAGCAGTTGAAAGACAGTCCTGCCTAAATCATATCACGAAGAGTATACAGTTGAACCATGATAAATCGAACCTAACGTAATTAAAAAAAAAAAAAAATCATGTCCCCATCTGAATTTACTTTAAAACAATGCAATAAAAACCTCCTCAACTCGCTGGATTTCCCTCTCAAACATCCTAAATCGATTTTCCTGAAGGCCTTCTAGTTATCATTTTACTGACAAAGGAAAGAGAAAAGCAATTAAAATATAACTTGGCGGGGTCTGAAAGGAAGTGAAAATATCATTGGGCAATCAACCCATTTAAGAGGCTATTTAATTTCCAGAATATCACCACCAATTACAATTTCCTGTAGTTCCTCTTCTTAAGGAGATTGTTTTTACGAACAAAAGGGTTGATCTTTAGAGGAGTTGAACTAAAAAAGAACGACCGGGGAACTTTAAACTTAGGGTTCTCCAAGCTGACATTAAGAGATGAAGCTACAAGAAGTGAATTTTCTCCGGATAAATAAATAAATTATCCTTCTGTATAGGATGATCCATACCTACAAAAGACGATCCTGCCTCAACTACCGGTCGTGAGAATATACGGTAGTAAAAAAATTATTTATCGTGGATTTCAATGAACAATTTATTAATAAAAAAACTGAGGCAAGCGCCTTATGCGGGGATCGATCAGACGCCTCACTAGAGGGCGCATACGCATGGTACAGTACAGTACAATGATAGAGTAAATAAGGTACAGTACCGTAATTGCTAATTTGCAAAAATAACTTATTAGCAATTTAGCTCTTCCGAGGTAAAAGCGAATTTGAAAGCAGTCTTTTTTATTTATTTACAGTGGGACCCCAACATACGGACGATTCGCCTTAGGGACCCTTGGAACTGGAAAAATATGCCCCGACATCCGGACATTGATTCGAGATACAGACACGTTTGCGAAATTTCTGGAAAATTTGAAATTTTTCTGAATTTTCATATTTCTTGAAGAAACTGAGCTATTTATATTCAAAAATATTAAAAATAAATTTCATTATTACATTACTGATCTGAAATTTTTCTGAATTTTCACATTTCTTGAAGAAACTGAGCTATTTATATTCAAAAATATTGAAAATAAATTTCATTATTACATTACTGATCTGAAAATTTTCTGAATTTTCATATTTCTTGAAGAAACTAAGCTATTTATATTCAAAAAAATTAAGAAATAAATTTAATAATTACATTACTGATCTAAAATTTTTCTGAATTTTCATATTTCTTGAAGACTGAGCTATTTATATTCAAAAATATAAAAAAATAAATTTCATTATTACATTACTGTACTCTGAACTCATAACTGTAATCATAATAATTCATTATCAAAAGCAGGCCAATTTTTTGCTCTTTTTTCAGTTTTTTCCATCATGCGTGCACAGCATTGCAAGACATGTTTTTGTAATTAGCTTTTTGAGCTCCTTCTGATGCCAAAAGAATAGATTCTGGGTGACTTTCTTCTGTAAATTTATTTTCTGCCTGTTGAAGTTGATAGAAAATTGTTCAATTTATTCCTCTAACAAAAATGCTTGTTTTCCCAACTAGAAATCTCCTCAACTTGATTTTTTCTTGCTGGCCCCTTGAAATTTGAATCCCAAGAGGTTCGACTGTAATTCTCTACTTCGATGTTCTTCACTTGTTTCTCCGGATAAATAAATAAATTATCCTTCTGTAGGATGATCCATACCTACAAAAGACGATCCTGCCTCAACTACCGGTCGTGAGAATATACGGTAGTAAAAAAATTATTTATCGTGGATTTCAATAAACAATTTATTAATAAAAAAACTGAGGCAAGCGCCTTATGCGGGGATCGATTTTCTCTCAAATGTTTCCTCTGCAAGAATCAATGCATCAGACGTCTCACTAGAGGGCGCATACGCATGGTACAGTACAGTACAATGATAGGGTAAATAAGGTACAGTACCGTAATTGCTAATTTGCACAAATAACTTACAGTATTAGCAATTTAGCTCTTCCGAGGTAAAAGCGAATTCGAAAGCAGTCTTTTTTATTTATTTACAGTGGGACCCCAACATACGGACGAATCGACTTAGGGGCCCTTGGAACTGGAAAAATATGCTCCGACATCCGGACATTGATTCGAGATACATACACGTTTGCGAAATTTCTGGAAAATTTGAAATTTTTCTGAATATTCATATTTCTTGAAGAAACTGAGCTATTTATATTCAAAAATATTGAAAATAAATTTCATTATTACATTACTGATCTGAAATTTTTCTGAATTTTCATATTTCTTGAAGAAACTGAGCTATTTATATTCAAAAATATTGAAAATAAATTTCATTATTACATTACTGATATGAAATTTTTCTGAATTTTCATATTTCTTGAAGAAACTGAGCTATTTATATTCAAAAATATAAAAAATAAATTTCAGTATTACATTGCTTTACTCTGAACTCATAACTGTAATCATAATAATTCATAATCGAAAGCAGGCCAATTTTTCGCTCTTTTTTCAGTTTTTTCCATCATGCGTGCACAGTATTGCAAGACATGTTTTTGTAATTAGCTTTTTGAGCTCCTTCTGATGCCAAAAGAATAGATTCTGGGTGACTTTCTTCTGTAAATTTATTTTCTGCCTGTTGAAGTTGATAGAAAATTGTTCAATTTTCGGGGACTGTATGACTAATTTTTTATGAACCGGTGAACAAATGAAATAGTCTATAGGAAAACGAGATCCGACAAAACAGGGACACGGTCCAAGCACCAATTACGTCCGCATCTCCATCTCCGGGTGTCCCACTCACTGTACAAAAATTATCGTTTTATTTTATTTTGTTACCAGGCTTGGGCGCAGCGGTAGGCGGCCGCCGCTGGTGACGCACAACAGTCACAGGCGTCTCTTCGTCCGGCGACACGGCGTTCAACGTCCTCCGCGGCGGCGTGAAATGGTCGTCGTCGGATTCGGAACAATAGTGCACAATGGCGTTCGTCACCTCCTTGATGGAGTTGCGCACCATCCGCGGACTCAAGTGCGGCACTTCACTCGGGCTCAACGTGAGTCCATTGGCCTGCACCTTGGCCTCCTCTTGCTTCTGTCGCTGAGCAGCCAGCAGCTCTTTGGCCATCCGCTCGGCGGGCGACAAATACGCAGGCGGCGCCGGGGGAATTTGCCGGTTGTTGTGCAAGTGCTGCTCGGCCGCCTCGAGCTTGCCGAGCTTTTCCTGGGAGCGCCAGCCGAGGTACGGGCGGCGAGCAGGAGCGGCGGCGGTCGTGGAAGCCGCCGAGGAGAGAAGCGTGCGGCCAGAGAAGCTGGCGGCGCCGATGCTGAATTGGCTGCAAGGAGAGGCGCTGCCAGAGAGCCGACCGACGCCCCAGCGGAAGGGCTGGTAGGCGCCGCCGCCGCCTGTGCTGCTGCCGCCACCGCCGCCGCGCTCTGAAGGCACCGGGCTGCTCGTCGTCGAGTCGGGGCTCATCACGTTGTCTCGGGACGATCCGTATCTGCAGAAAGGCAAATGAGACTCGTCATTCTTCCAATTTCATCGCTTGAATTTCCCCGGAACATGTACTGCACATACAATATTCCAGCTTGAACAAAGTTTCCGCCTTCTGCTTGGAAAGGAATCCGAACAGATTACTTTCGAAAGGCTTCGAAAGATTTTGACTAAAAATTCAACAGCAGGAAGTTTGCGCAAGAATGTGTTTTTTTAAAAAGGGATTTAAGGATTGTTTGGCAAACATGAGGAGAAAATTTTCAGTGGCGCCAGAATTCAGTTTTCCCGAAACAGTTCCACGCAACGTCGGTGGTACAGTAACACCATTTCAAAAATTAATATTTGCCTTGATCCGATTTTTTTTATAGAACTGATGGAACAAGCCATTTTCGGATTTTAAAAAACCAAATCAATCGAATAACACAGTATAAAATCAGAAATTTTAATACTGTATTTTTGACTCATGCACTTGATTCAAGATGAAAAAAAGTGTATGGGCTTCAAAATTTTTTAAAAACCTTAATAAATACTGTACCTCACTACATTAAGACTCATTGCAGCTGAAAAAGGACTTTTATTATTCTTTTAAATTGCATTAAATAAACTAATGCTCATTCAGATTCGGGCGACTTACGATGAACATTTGAGTGCTTTATGAGTTTCAAAGGACAATTTTCACCAGTTCGGAATTCCATACCCAAAGCTGATTTTCATGAAATGTTATTTCAGACGCACGGAAAATAATGGCATTTGACTTGCGGAAAAAATTAATGGCGTTCATTGATTCAATGATAATACAGTACCAGCGAATTTGCCTTATTTTTAATTTGACAATAAAACGTGATTTTTCGATTTTCATTGACGAAAGATGAAAATTGCAGAAGCATGCATCCTGCTGCTATTTTTCCTTTTTTGTTTGATGTTGATAAAATCGTATTTAACTGAGTCTCGCTTCAATGAAAAGTGTTCTTCTTCTCATTCCTGGATTCAATCATAAAACCAAAAATGTTGCGTGTTTCAATGGGAAACCACATAGTTAATTATTCCTGGAAAATGGCATTGTCTGCACCAAGTCTCGCTTCATTAAAAAAATAGTAACGCCTCTCTCTCTCTTTGACATGGATTTAATCACGAAATTAAAGATTGCCGCGCGTTGAAACAGGAAACCACGCAGTGAATTAAAAAAAAATATTCGAGTACAGGCGAACCTTGATAACTAGAACCTCCCTAAGTCAAAAGCTGTTCCCCTAAAACCTCCATAAGTCGAATTTTCTGTGGCCTGTTGGCCATTATTTTTTGAAAAAAGAAAGAAAAAAAAGCAATAAAAACAGAAATTCATGTGTTTTAAAGGAAGTGGAATACTTGATTGTGCAAATAAACCCCTGCAAGTTCAGCAGCCTTCCAACTCTGTTAAGAATCCATTTAAGACCCAGAATATCACCATTTACATTTTTTCCAAGTTTCCCAGAAAAAAAAACGGCTTTGTGTTTTACTCTAGTTCCAGCCTGTAAAATTCAAAACCCCCCCTAAGTCGAATTTTTTTTTTGCAGGTCTCTTGAAATTCGACTTACGAGAGGTTCGACTGTACAGTATAAGAAAAATAACGAGCGTTAATTTACCGCCATTCAAAGATCGGTCGGATCGGACGGCCCTTGGTCGGCGTGTTGGCTCTCGAGGACTGGAGCGAGGACATGGACGACGTCTTGGTCTCTTCCCAGCCCCCGGGCAGGACTCGGTCCATGGCCCGACGGGGACGGGTGATGAGGCCCGAGTCCGCCGACTGCTTCCGTTGTTGCTGGCTCTTCTTGTACCACTCGGGCACGTTCAGGCGCTGCAGGGACTGCTGGAACCGCAACTCGTGCTCGGACATTTGCCGGTCCTCCTTCATCAGCTCGTTTTCCGGCGGCTGATGTGTGGTCACCGAGAATAGAGGAGAGGAGAGAAGAGAAAATTTTTAAATATTTTGAAGGAGCTGCCAGTTTAATAGACGAGATGAAACTCGACACTTTTGAGACTGATAATCGCATACAAGATGCCATTGATACTCGGGACGCAACCTGCTGATTTTTTATTCATTTTATTTTTTTGCAGCAAGACTTTAATTTCAACAACTCCCGTCGCTCAAATCTGGACTGTGATTCTTGTACAGTGTACTTCAAAAATATTTTTCTGCTTCATTTTCCGACGCAAACATTTTAAATACAATATTCGTCTTTGAGTGGATTTGGGTTGGATGGGAAGGGGGTTTGGATGTGGAAATCTTGATTGAACCTTGTGAACGCTGAAAAGCGGCAAATAAAGTGTTCGGTTCATTCATTCAATATTTGTTGCAGAGGAGATACAGGATATACAATTACAAGTGTACAGCACGCATTTTTGCTAACAAGTGGGCACCCCGTTTTTTTTTTCTGTCATGAATAAAACTGTAAGAATTGGTCATGAAAATATTTGTTCGAGGAAAGCCAATCGAAAGAAAAATGATCAAAATTACGGTCTTAGGGCATTGAAACGAAATTAACAACGAACACAAAATGACAAGAGGAACAGTGCTACATGATTTCGCGTGAAAAAATGCATACAATATTTCCGAGGAATAGGGATTAGTAGTCACAAACAGTAAATTATATAAAAGCAGCATAAATACTGTGATTCCCACAAATACTGTCACTTCAGAATGATTTCCCAAATTTTTACTCGTATTTGTCAGTTTTCAGCATCAATTTTAGATTATACTTCCAATTTATCCACAGCGGTAGCGTAGCAGTAATATGCAGACGTAAGATACCATCACAGTACATATTTCTACGGATGTGCGTAGTACATACATTTTTGAACAACCTCAAAAACTAGCATTTCGCAAACGAATCCAAGACACCATAAATTCTGAAAAGCACCCAGATTCGACGCCTGTCACAATCAAAATACAAGTTCGCCTAAAGCTTGATTAAAAAAGGTGATTCGATTAGGATTCCCAGTAAAAATATAAGTTTCAATTTTGGGGTAGTTGCGTAGTCGGTAAAAAGGCGTGTATTATGTTTATTTTATTAACGTACGGTTAGTCGAAACTTATACTGATTAAGTTTGTATTATAAAGAGAACAGAGCCCGGTGTTTGGTAAACTTACAATACATGTGGCCAAAATAAACGAAGGAAAACCTGAAAAAAAATCTTTCGGATGGTCCTGGTTGTGCGTAATACTTTTGACAATATTTAGTCTACAACCCGACCTCGAACAACGTCCCTCAGCACAAAAACAACGCAGTAAAACCCAGACAAAAGCTGACGAACGCACATCCCAACACATCATGTCATCCATCACGAGTAGCAAGTCGGAAACAAAAATACTTGAGAGTATTTTAAACTAGGTTTCACATTTTTTTGTTCGGAGCATGGAGCACTGTCGCTTTTTTGAACGTTGAGTGCTTATTGAAGGCAGCTTCGAGGTAACCTGTCGTTTTTTTCTTCTTCTTTTGGAAAGTCAAATTTTTCTAAAACGCAGCGATGAAGTAAACTGAAACGGCTTCAAGGAATATCTTCATGACGAGTATAAGTAGGGATAATAAATTTAAATACGGTCGCAATTCGCAGGAGAATTCCACCAAGTTCGTATTTTACAAAAACATAAACAAAGAGGGTCGGCTTCACGCTTTTCCACGGAAACAAATGACTTTTTGATGGATGATGCGTGATGATTCATCGACAAGTTGAAATATTATGCGTCGTCCGTTTCATCTTACGCCGACTTGATTAAAACTGATTTTTTTTTCTAAATAACAAGCAATCAACTGATATTAGCGTGCCTGACAAAAAAAAACGACGGCATTACAAATACAGTAATACCAGATATTCAGAAGTTCAGAAAGATCAAATTTTTCTAATGCTGTATTTTGCGGCTGAAACTGATCCGATCCCGGATGAAACGATCAGAAGTTCAGAGCGAAACTTTTACTCATTTTTGAGGAAAAACCTTCAAATCGAAGTGATGATGTTCACAGCCATCAAGGGCATCATTTAAACAAACAAAAAACGCTAATTAAGCCAGATGATGATTCTGATTCCATTATTCACGATGATGATGATTCCTGGAAACCATTAAAAAAGGGTTTCGAATGAGCCAAAGCAGCCTCGTACCTCGTGACAGCGAAAAAACTTGCAACTCACGAATAACTTCCGTCGAAGCTCCATTGGACAGCAAAAAAAGAAGAAGAAAACCTTTCAGTTTAAAAAGATTTTGCGTCGCTACTTCATTTCTGAAACGGCTTCAAGGAATATCTTTATGACGAGTATAAGTAGGGATGATAAATTTAAATACGGTCGCAATTCGCAGGAGAATTCCACCAAGTTCGTATTTTACAAAAACATAAACAACGAGGTTCGGCTTCACGCTTTTCCATGGAAACAAATGACTTTTTGATGGATGATGCGTGATGATTCATCGACAAGTTGAAATATTATGCGTCGTCCGTTTCATCTTACGCCGACTTGATTACCACTGATTTTTTTTTCTAAATAACAAGCAATCAACTGATATTAGCCAGCCTGAAAAAAAAAACGACGGCATTACAAATACAGTAATACCAGATATTCAGAAGTTCCGAAAGATCAAATTTTTCTAATGCTGTATTTTGCGGCTGAAACTGATCCGATCCCGGATGAAACGATCAGAAGTTCAGTGTTAAACTTTTACCCATTTTTGAGGAAAAACCTTCAAATCGAAGTGATAATGTTCACTGCCATCAAGGGCATCATTTAAACAAACAAAAAACGCTAATTAAGCCAGATGATGATTCTGATTCCATTATTCACGATGATGATGATTCCTGGAAACCATTAAAAAAGGGTTTCGAATGAGCCAAAGCAGCAGCAGCAGCTGCTGGTATGGCGCCACACCCACGCGTGTCGCGGATTCGCGCCTGCTCTTCATCGCGTCCCGAACCCGACACCTCGACAGGCAAGAACGGGGGTGTCGGAAATAAATTTCGGCCAAGGTCGCATTGAGTCAAACGCGACGGGAAACATAAATATACACTCGACGATCCCCTTTGCCGTGTACTCAAGGGCTGGGAGTAATTGCGAAACCTGGGCGATTCCTGTGGGAAGGAAAATCCGGTGTGCTCTGCTCGTGGTGGACTAGAACCCGTTTCACGGCGATTGCATTAAAACACCTGTATTTTCTTTCATTCTTGTTATCAATATGCATCTAAGTTCTCTATTTTCCCCATTCTGAAGTGATTGAATGTCTTTGGGTTGGGTGGGGAGGGGGTTATTTGGATGTGGGAATGCTGATTGAACCTTGAATTTTCTTTCATTCTTGTTATCAATATGCATCTAAGTTCTCTATTTTCCCCATTCTGAAGTGATTGAATGTCTTTGGGTTGGGTGGGGAGGGGGTTATTTGGATGTGGGAATGCTGATTGAACCTTGCGAACGCTGAAAAGTGGAAAATAAAGCTTTCTGTTCATTCATTCATTAAACACCTTCCGAATTTTCGGCAGGCTGATTTCAGTGGGGACAAAATGAAGACTGATTTGAAAGTTATTTCGTACATTTTCTTCGCTGAAATTCAACAGAAGGAGTATCACTGTAACTACTGAACTGTACATTCAATCACTAAATTTATTCGGACATCTTCCAAATACAAGCTCCGGAAGATTTTGATACTTTGTTTTAAAAAACTCCGAACTGAGAGCAAAAAGTATATTTTTAACGTGCAAATCGAAACTACATTCCGGAAATTAGCTGTGAGATCGCGACTATGCAAAAAAGGAATTTAAAAACATTCTTATTTGAATTCAGAATCAAAAGACAGATGCTCAAGCCGTTTTTCTATTTCTCGCGGATGAGCAAGTCCCGGAAAAAGAACTGTTCGATGACGTGGAAGTCGATTAATTCACGTGTTTTGGTAACTCAGTATGACACAAAAAGTAATATACTGTACTGTACGTTCAAGTAGTCCACGAAATTTCGTTACTTTCGATCATTTCGGTGCCAGATTTTATCCGACTGAGAACACAGAGACTGTGTTAGTCATCACGTTGAAGAAAAAGATGAACAACTCTCTCAGTCCAATACAGTATGAACAAATCCTCATGTCTTGACTCGACCTGCAGGAGTGGACCCCCTAATCTAATTGAAACACTAGGCGCAAGCATTAAAATTTATCCATAACATTTGCGGGATTAAATGCGGAACAATGGTTTAAACTTTAAAATAAAAGTAGCCAAGTCTAGTAGTCCATTACGGAAAGCCTGGACCTGGACTTACCAGATCAAACACCACTGCGGAAGATGAATGACAAAAAAGAAAACGCCTTTCTTTTTCCCCGGGACTGGAAGAGCATCATGTCTCATCCTCACGACCTCTTTACCTGATCCTAAACTAATCTCCGAGAAGATATTGTACTTCTTGAGCTTTCGCGCGAGAAAACCGGAAGAATTTAGTCATCTCTTCGAGATTTATTACACACACACACACACGATCGTCGTGTTCCGTGTTTTCTTTCCAGCAAGGAGCACCCAAACCCACGAAAATTTAGATGAAACGACGACTTGTGAGAGAAAAATTGGGTCGACGCTGGTCGGGATTGCTTTCAGGTGGAGGACGTCATCTCGCGGCATTCCAGCACCGAGGGGGACATTTCTTGAAAACAGTGCCACGACGAAAAACGTCGGATTTGAAGAAAATAAATTTCCAAGAAAGAATTGAGAAGAAAAAAGAAATAGCCACGACGACGACGACGAAAACAGTCGACGACCCTCGCGAACCTCGACGGCCTGGGTGTTGATCGAGCTCGACAGCTGACAAACGACAACTTTTCGCGGCTATGAAAAGGCTCGGAAATCAGGGATGGAATTCCGTTTCCTGCATTTCCGCGAAGCAGCCGGTCCC